CGGCGGCCCGCTCGCGCGCCGCGCGCAGCTCGCGCCGCAGCAGCGCGCCCTCCGCCTCCGCCGCCGCGCGACGAGATCTGCACGACTCGCTCTCACACTCCCCACTGCAACCACACGGGATTGTCAGACGATTGTTAGCTTCAATCAATGTTATAGCGTTTATCACACGTGATACGATTGTACAGTAAACATTTAATGAAGATTAAAACAAAAAAAATTACATAAAATGTGCATTATGACAGTGTTCAACCGATTACATTCACGACTAGTGTTGGAATAGCTACAATTTACACATAAACGTATGAGACATAATAAGTAAGATATGTACTTAGGCGTCCGTGGCTGGTGCCTGGCCCGTAGCAGTTGGTTCTCTGCGTTAGTGCGCGCGCGGCGCTCGTCCGCCAGTCGTCGCTCCAACGTCGCGCGCTCACCCGTACGCCATGCGTTCACTCTGTAATTATACAATAAAACAAATGTTAATAATAATACACAGGTAATTGTAGAAAATAATACATATCTTTTAAGCAAACAGTCTTTCATGACTCGTTTTGCGCAATGAACAAAAACGTATACGTATATTTTAGATTTGCTCTTTGCGCAAACTTAGTACAAATAATTGCGCAACACACTGTAAGTGTTGCAAAATAGCACTCAATGTGCAAATAGTATTCTTTTTTTAAATAGTTTCTCTCTTGACAGAGTGATCGTAATCGTTAACTGTTTAACTGTCGCTAGATAAATGTTGAAGGCAAAACTTCCGCTAACTATAAACATATTTCGTGGATAAGACACTCGAACGATTGATCAGTAACAGGTTGAGTGACAACTTCTATTACACGAAGCTGCTATTATAAATTTTTGTCCAGTAATGAACGATTTCCGGCTGATGATTTTTGTGAACCGCAGTCTTTCTGGAACAGTCATAAACCGAGGGGGCAGGTTGCTGCCAGTCGTACTTGTGCTGCAGCGCGGCGTGTGCCTGCTTGAGCTGCGCGTGGTCTGCGCGGCGCTGTCGCTCGGCGGCGGCGGCGGCGGCCAGCGCGCGCCGCGCCTCCGTCTCCGCCGCGCGCGCCGCCGCCAGCTCCGCGCGGACACGCTTCAGCTCTTCCATGCACTCGCGGGCTTCGCGCTGGAAATAAAAATCAATATTCAATCGTCAAGAAAAATTAACACACATAAAACGCTGCCATGAGATAGTTTAAATCTATCTATATAAATAAAAATGAATCTCCGTTCGTCAGTCTCGCTAAAACTCGAGAACAGCTGAACCGATTTGGCTAATTTTGGTCTTGAAATGTTTGTTGGAAATCCAAGGAAGTTTTAAACGGTAAAAAAATAAATTTACGCATTAAAAATTAAATTACAGGTCAGTACCTGGCAAACTTCGTACCACCGTAAATAGTGTAGCTGTAGTCTACTATATATTTTCATTTTTAAATGTATAGCCTGCTAAGTTACGAGCAGCTTAATTTTCATAAAATTAAAAACCATTATTTTCATGCAAATCTTACCACCAAATATTAAATCTATGATTAATCTCATCCGCGTCTGCCGTGAAACATATCCTTGATGAAAAAGATACAAAAATATAAAGTAGGTAGTTTTAGTACAGTACCGCACATTAAGGACAATAAGATCTAATATTACCTGTTCGCGTTCTCGCTCCCTCTCGCGTTCCTTGTCCCGCTCTCTCGTCTCTCTCTCCCGTTCTCTATCTCTTTCCTTCTCTTTCTCCTTAGCCTCTTTGTTACTGCTTTCCTTAATTTTTACACAATCTTTTGTACTCTCTACTTCTTTATCTTTAACTATTTGTTCTTTTGCTGAAACAGAAAATATTAATCTATATATATAAAAAAAGTCGTGTTAGTTACACCACTTATAACTCAAAAACAGCAGAATAGATTTGGCTGAAAATTGGTAGGGAGGTAGCTTAGAGCCAGGAGACCGACATAGGATACTTTTTAACCAATACTTCTTTTTCAGTTATTACCGAAAATCACGAACGGAGACGGGAAAAAATGGGATTACGCGTACGAAGTCGCGGGCAGAAGCTAGTTTATAGATAAATATATACTTATTTATTAAGTCCTAGTATAGGAAATGATCTAATGATCCTGCGTGTTATTGTAGTATGCGGGCTAAAAGATCGAGTTAGATGGCATCCTTCACCTCAGGGGTTCACTCAAACTAAACCTTTTAATATAAATATATATTTTTTGAAATTATCATACGTTTTCTGAATTGGGAAATACAAGGCCTTTCTATTTTTTTTCTTATTCATTTATCTGTAATGATTATAAGTTTTGGGCCAACTAATGTTACATATTTTCGGATTCTTTTAAATGATGTGTGGTGTGGTTATCTACTTTGGTTATATTAGAGTATACTTACTATGTTCTGTACTCTTATGACTATCGATACTGTCCTTATCCTTATCTCTGTTTTTATTCTTTCTTTTTTCTTCTTTTAATGTGCTAGCCTCTTTCTTTTCTTTTTCTGCCTTCGAAGACTTTGAACTACCTGAAATGAACAGTTATCTTACTTAATGTTACAAATATGAAAGTTTGTGAATGAATCAGATCAAAATGGCTGAATGGATTGGAATGAAATTTGGAACAGAGGTCTGGAATAACATAGTTACTGTTTTATTCCACAGAAATGCGGGTGAAGCTGCTGGCAGAAGCTAGTTTAAAATATATGAAACACAAAAAGAATATGGCCAATTTATTTAGTGTTATACCTTTACTATGGTCATGTCTGTCGTCGTCGTCCGGCGCGGCGTGGCAGGCCGAGCCGTTGCTGAGGGCGGGCGCCGAGCTGTGCGCGCTGTGCGGGCTGTGTGCGCTGTGTGCGCTGTGTGAGCTGTGTGAGCTGCCCGAGCTGTGCGAGCTGCCGTTTGACGCGTGAGACGCCTTCTCGCGTATTGCATTTGTATGCGATACTTGCTTCTCTATTTTGTCTACCTGTAAGTTGGGTAAATTAACATAATATTCTTATTATATGTCGAATAGATCTGGAACATAATCAGTAAATAATGTTAGAACAGAGAGAAAATAGTGAACATTTTTGAAAGGTAAAAGACTCAAATAAGAGGCATTACAACTACAACATGCTTGAGTTATTCTTGCGTAAAATACTTATTATTTAAGTAGGTTAATTCAGCACTAGGGCTCAAAACGATAACTCGTGGGGAGGGTAATAACTCTGCGCTTTTCTTAGATTATGACATACATACATAATATAACACTTTTTATCCCTGAAGGGGTAGATATTACGGCACTTAATGCCACGATAACAAGTGTGTTTAATGCTAGTTACCTTATTGGATACATGTTCCGGCGGACAGTGACCGTTGTGGTCGGCCGTCTTGTACCGACAGCGCCGCAGCGAGCCGTTGGCGTACCGCGCGTCCGGCGACTGTGCCTGCGACGCGGGCGGCGAGCAGTCCGCGCCGCCGTTGGCGACGCCGTCCTTGCCCGACACTTGGGTCTGTGACTGCGACTTAACATAACACACACCTCGCTTAATGATCCCTTGGATTCAAAATATTTTAATGCAACTATTGATGGGCGAATACTATATTAAATGGGATGATAGAAGAAACTTAAGTGTCAGTATGTCGTATGAGAACACTATTTTTTTTAAGACAAATGTCTATTTTAAACATATTTCAAACTTTAAACATATAGTTACTTTATTATACATAGGTGAAGTAGTACACTATGTTTAGATTGAAATCTAGTTTCTTAAGATACTTAATTAAATTAAAGTTTCAATGTTTTATTGTAGACAATGAATTCTAACTAACATTGTGTACAGCAACAAACAAAAATACCTACATAGTAACAAAATCACAACACCACATTACATAAAGTAGAATAAAACCTCATTTATACCGCACAAAACCCATATTTATCACTCACCTGGTCTAGCGCAGACTCAGGTAGCGCGTCCCGCATGAGTTGGAAGTAAAACTCATTCATTGCGCGAACGTGCCTCTGTCTGCGTTGTCTCAGCCGGTGTGCTATGAGGGCCTTCGCCCCGAAGCCCAGCGTGACCACCGGGTACCCAACGCAGTGCGCCGCTAACGGCCTGCAGAGCTCCCCAGCGCCCGCGCGGGACCCCCGCCAAAGACCTTCCACGTACACCAGTATGCAGCATATTGCTACTGTCGGTACACAGATGCCTTTATCTGCAACTGTAATAAAAATAGACAACACCCTTAAAGAAGTTGACTAACAACTTTTTTTCTTTAAACGTTGCCCCACACTAGGATTTTCTCCTGTGTCGTGGGTGCGTTTACAAACATACAAGTTCACATACACATGACACCCAGACGCGGAACAACAACCTGTGGATCACACAAAGAGTTGTTCCGTGCGGGAATCGACCTCGCAACAAGACAGTGCAATGCAATATGTGCAATAATGTACCCCTACCTTTTTTTTTTTTTTTTTAGTGGGGGGAAATCCTCATGGACTGCCTCCGCCTGGGGAAAGGCGGAGGGGTGTGCCGGACTCTTACCGGCTAAAACCACCCCAGTGTCTCCTCGCACGTGCGTGCGGGGCTGCGGGAGTCCAAATTCATCCGCAGCCCCGCATTACAGTGCCGGCCCGTCCGTCCGGGCCTCATCTCCTGCACCGTAGCAATGTGTAGCCACGTGCATCGCCTCAAAGGCGCGCGCCGACACCCGCGCGCGCCTTCGACTCGGGTCTATCGAATCGGGGGCGGGGACTTCCCCAAGTCCTTCGCCCCTGGACCCATTCATGGGGGCCGGAAGAGGGCGTTGTCGGCCCGTCTCCTACGCCCGGTGCGCCGTCTGCGGTTGGGAAAGGAAGTCAACAAGATCTCCCTCTCCCGTTCCGCAGTTTCTTTCTGCGACATCACGTCCTCGCAGAAAGACACCACCGCGTCCCACGACTCTGTGCTGTCCACCATCTTCCGCACTACGGCCGGCAGCGACAGATCGCCTCCTACTTCATTTGTGAGGACACGGCGCTGCTCCTCCCAAGCTACACACTCGGCGAGCGTGTGTTGCGCTGTGTCCTCCCCGCAATGGACGCAGTGGTGGCACCGGGCGTTCGGCTCCCTCTCTATGCGGCACAGGTACTTGCCGAAGCAGCCGTGCCCTGACAGCACCTGCGTCACCCTAAACGACAGGGAGCCGTGCTTCCTCCCGAGCCAGTCGTCGAGTACTGGCCGGATCGCCTCGACGGTAGTAAGGCCGGCGGTGGGGCGCAGAAGCCTTTGCCGCCATTCCGCCACCAAGACCTGACGGAGCTCCTCTCGGCGCCGCTCAATTTGGCGCTGCACCGGCCTCGAGCCCCGTGTCTGCTCTTCCTCGCGCCATCGGTATAGTGACGCGAGTACTTTCGCCTCTAGGTCCCAGGGCGGGGATCCGGCCAGGACGCAAGCCGCCTCGTAGGAAATCGTGCGATACCCGCGGACGACTCTGACAGCCATCGCCCTCTGCGGTTTTTTTAGGATGGCGAGAGTGTTGGCCGTCAAGTCCAATGCCCACACAGGGGCCCCGTACAGGGCCATGGATCGCACGATTCCCACATACAGCCGCCTACAGGCGGCGCTCGGGCCCCCCAAGTTGGGAAGCAACGTTGAAAGCGCGCCCGCCGCGCCCATCAGCTTGGGCGCCAGCCGCCGGAAGTGAGGCCCAAATTCCCATCGGCTGTCGAGCACCAATCCCAGATATTTCATGGTGGACTCGACAGCTATGCGAGTACCGCTAACTACAATATGCGATCCCGGCGCGGGCGCACGTCGGGGTCCGTGGAACACCATGGCCTCCGACTTGTTTAGGGCCACGTCCAGGCCCAGGCGCCGGATACGGTTCACAACCTGTGACACCGCAGCCGTGGCTATCAACGTCGCCTCCCTGTGTGAGCTCCCTCGGGCAGTTACGAGCGTATCGTCCGCATAACACGTCAAATCAGCGCCCGACGGGAGCTCACCTCTCAGCACCCAGTCGTACCCAATGTTCCACAGAAGCGGCCCTAAGACCGATCCCTGTGGAACACCGCAAGACATGAGGTGCCGACCGACACCGTCACGTCCCCGATAGGTGACACACCTGCCCTCCAAAAAAGCCCCTACTATACGGCGGAGGTAGAGAGGCACGCGATGGTATTTTAGTGCCTCTCGAATACAACTCCAGGGTAGGGTGTTGAATGCATTCGAGATGTCCAAAGACACCGCCAGTACCACCCCACCCTGGGACACCGTCTCTTCCACCAGGGTCCTCACGCGCATGATGGCGTCTATGGTGGAGCGCCCCTCACGAAAACCAAATTGGTTGTCGTCTAGGTTCGGTCCTTCTCTGCACAAGTGGCTCACGAGGCGATTTGCGATAATACGCTCGAAAAGTTTGCCCGCCTCGTCGAGCAGCACTATGGGCCGATACGCGGATGGCGAGTCCGCAGGGCGCCCCTCCTTCCTGAGCAGGACCAGTTTTCCCTCCTTCCACACACTGGGGAACTGACCTCGCTCGAGACATGCCGTGAGAAGCCCTCTCAGCTGGGGCTCTAGCACCTTCATAGCCAGGACGAGAGCCCGACCAGGAACGCCGTCGGGTCCGGGCGCTGTGTTCTTAGCCCGGAGTCGCAACACGGCTGCTCTCGTCTCTGCTTCTGTCACCTCGGGGACGTCGGTGGTCTCTTCTTCGGGAGAGTCTGTAGCAGACGGCGAAGCCATCGCCGGGGGAACGTGCTCTGCTCGCTCTGGGAAGAGAGCTGATACAACTGCCTCTAGCAACTGGGGTTGCATACTCTGGGCTAGTGGAGGCGCCCAGGGACGCAACTTGCCCCGTACCCAACGGTAGGGCCGCCCCCACGGATCCCGATCTAGGGACCCCAGCAGCTCCTCCCTAGCACGCGACTTTGAATCGGTGATGGCCAGCCGCAGAGTCTCCTTAGACGCGCGGTACACCTCGTACAGCGCATCCTCCTCGTTGAAATCCCGTCGACGTCGTCTCCGGTATCGGGTGTACCGGCGGCGAGCCGCAACGCACGTTACGCGCAACTGCGCGATCTCGTCCGTCCACCAGTACACCTGGCGCCTTGCGGACTGTTGGCGGATACGAGGCATAGACGCGTCGCAAATCTGCGTCATCGCCCCGCGAAACCACAGCGCCATCGATTCGACGTCGACGGGGCCTTCTGTCGTCGACTCCCAGATCCAGGACTGGACTAAGGCAGCTTCTTCGAGTAGTTCCCTGTCGATGCGCTTGAGCGCCCAACGCGGGCCGTCGTTAATCGGGGTTGTTGAATGGCGGCCGCTAGCGGTCTGGGCAGAGACGTCAAATCGGATATACCGATGGTCCGATAGCGTTTCCACCTCTACGGCGACTCGCCAATCGCGGACTCGGCTGGCAACAGACGGACTAGCGAATGAGACGTCCACTATCGACCCACCCCGCTGCCGCACGCATGTGTATTCCGAACCCCGATTCAGGACGACCAGTCCAGTCGTCACTGCCCACTCTTCTAGCACCTCACCCCGAGGGTCAGTAACCGGAGATCCCCACGCCGATGACTTGGCGTTGAGGTCCCCGAGCACCAGGACGGGACGAGGGTGATAGCGGCCTACGACAGCGCCCAACTCGACAAGGAAACTCTCGAAGTCGACGAGCCTCTTGTTGGGAGAAAAATACGCCCCCACTGTGACAATACCGCTCGAGACCGCAGCAACCCAACCGCGGCCACGAGACAGGTCGCTTAGAGCCTCGCCAATAATAGCCACCGAACCTTCAGTGCATCCCAGCCAGTTGTCACGGGCGGGGATGAAGTACGGTTCGGCGACCACAGCCACGTGAATCGACCACTCTGCCATGCTCTGGAGCAGGAGATCCTGAGCTCTGGCACAGTGATTGATGTTGCCCTGGAGGAAATGGAGTTGTGCCATTATTGACACTCCATTCCCTCGGCAACGGTCATGGGCCGGGTGTCGGCCGCAGAGCTACTAGCCTGCGAGGGTGGCGAGGTTTCCCTGGCAGGTTTAGAGCCCCTCTTCTTTTTCTGTTTGGCCTTGTTGACAGGCGCACCACAGGCCTCTCCGCCTACTATGTGTCCCGCTGGTCTGCCTGCAGCCGAGCACAAGCTGCAGTTGGGCGCCGCGGTGCACTGGGCCGCCTTGTGACCGGGCTGACCGCAGCGATAGCAAAGGTCACTACGATCGATTTCGGCGGTACATTTTGCCCGGACATGCCCCTTCTCCAAACACCGGAAGCACCGCAATGCCCGAGGCTGCAGGAGTTTGACCCTCGCTGCAACCCAGCCAACCAACAATCTGCCGCTATCGGCAAGCTTCTTCGCCGAGGCTATAGGGCACCGAACCCAGACTACGCCGAGCCCGGAGGCGTCGGCGCGGATATCACCAGCTCGCACCATGTCCGGCGGGCATTCGCCGTTTCGGGCAGCGGCCGCCACCACCTCCTCAGAGGTTACGGAGTCGTCCAGGCCAGTAATCCGCACCTCTGCGGTTTTCATTGGTCTGGAGACCCGAACGTCCTCCGAGTTAAGGACCTCCCTCATCTTGGCAGCCAGAGCGTCTGCCTTTTCGGCACTGCCGGTAGTAGCACCAGCCACCTCGAACAGTCGTGCACCCGTGGCAGCCTGCCTGAGGGTGACGGACTGGAGACCAAGATCTGTTAATTTGATCTTGGCCTTGGCCTCGGCAATGACCGACTGGTACGTTACGCCACGCTCTATAGCCCCAGGCTGTAGCGTGAGAGTGACAGCCTCGGAACGCGGGGCACGTAAAGTCGGTCCTTTACGACCGCCTTTGGCGGTCCGCCGCGCAGGCTGCGTGACCGCCTTTGCGCTTTCACCGGGAGGGCATGCAGCTGCTGCGGCCTTCTTGGCAGCTTTGCGGGCCTTCTTGTGCCCTACGACTTTTGCCCAAGTCTCACCCTTGGACCCGGCAGAAGTAGGCTGGTCGCTTGGAGGAGCTCCCTCTGTGGATTTCCCCTTTTGAGGCCCAATTGTCGGCCGCTCCTCATTCCTCCGCGTGTCAGCCGCTAGAGGCGGACGGAGGGGTTCCGCTGGAAGACGCCGGGAAATAGCTTCCAGCCGAGCGTTTACCATGCTCCCACACTGGAGCATGCAGAGCCGGACAATTCGCTCGACCTCTTCATCAGTGCGAGGGATTGCCGGTTGCGATACGGGAGTTGGGGCCACTATAGGTGCGGCAATAGTGGGTACACATTGCTGCTGTTGCTCGCTTAGCGCAGCCACTTGTCGCCGAAGGTCTTCGATGTCGTTTCGGAGGCGGCTATTTTCCTCCTGTAACTTCGCGACCTCGTCAGAGGCAGTTCTGTTGAGGAGGGTGCCAATCGCTTCCCTGATATCCGTGGCAGCCTCTTTTAAACCTCGTATGAACGTGCCCTTCAGGCTGCAGGACTTGGTGGCAACCTTCAGGACTAGGTCCACCCCATCCAGAGCCAGCTGGCTCAAGGCCACCGCAGTTGGCTCTCCTCCTTCCGCCGCCAGAGCTGCTCGTCGCTCGCGAGCGCGTCGGGACATTTCCGACACTTCGTCAACCGCGACGGCTTTGCGTTGTTCTCTTTTGGCGGCGTTGAGCTCCGCCTTTGAGCTCCCCAGCGAAGCACCACTTTCACCGACCTCGCCAGGGTCGTCCGTAGTGACCCCCATGTCACTTTCTACTTCACTAGCCGCCGAGGTATTGGAACGTACGAGTCGTCCGTGCTTATCCCTTCGCGGCTGTGAATCCCTCGCCCCTCTCGATACCTGCCGCCCCCTCCTCGAAGTCGGTAACTTGGGAGCCGGCATGTTCTCTTCGTCTGAAGACTGACATGCAGGACGTTTCTTAACAGAAGACGTCCTACGCGACCGTTTTTCGCCGCTTTCTACCAGCATTTGTTTTTGTACGGGCGAGCTGAGCTCGCCTGCCCTCTCCTCCTCTTCAATTGGTGGTTTAATAATTTCTTTAGTACTTTCCATAAAAGTCCCACGAGTATGGGGGAAATAAACGGTCCGCCCAGGCAGTGCCCCCTGTACCTGGGTAAGTGTATATTTGTTTCCCAACTAGAGGGTCCACCGGTACCCTAGCTGGGGGTGCGCTCACGACTGACACTACTCCTCAGCCATGCATACCCTCGCCGCGCACCAGAACTTGGTATTGGAGGAATTTTTTATAGAGGTTATCTTCCTCGCGGTCCAGGCGACCAAGCCAAGACCCTCGTCCCGTTCGGAGTCATAAGACACGATCTCTTCACGGATTACGATATCGACAGATGCAATCGAGAACAGCGTGTGTCCCGATGCTGCTCGTTGGCAGGGTGAGTGCTCAACGAGCTCTGCCCTTGCCTCTCCGCCACGTTCTCTGCTGAATTCAGAGAGACGGGCGGAGGAGCGACCCCTCGGAAGCGCAGGGACAAAACCCGTCGCCTCCAGAACCCATACCGGGTTCGCCCGCCCTGTCCAGAAGTCCGCTACGGACAATAGTCACTCCAACCCTATCACCCCCGTTAGGGAGACTATCACCCGTACCCAGGGTGCACCACGGGGAGGTCTTCTGGCACCGCACCCCTACCTAGCTTAATGAAGAACAAGTCAATCAAAGGCGTGATATTTCATTACGTCATCATTCAAAAAGTCATTGAGGGAGTTTGGGAAAGGGGTCAACCGTTCATATGCAACTTAAAAACATGATAGGCCGTTAAAATAGGTGCGCATCTCTGCCTACCATAGCTCTATGGAAATTAAACACGATTGATTTTGTGTTTCGAATATTTCCGTAATGCATGCGAAATTATGGCGTAATACCTTTTAATAGTATGTAGTAGTGTAAACACTATCTATATACATATACATATATTATAATAGACACATACGTATTATAATGTAAGTTGTAAGGAAGCCAAAATGTATTTCTGGTTCTCTCATAGAATAAATAGGTACACTATGTTTGCGACAAACTTGCAAACCCACCTTACAAATTACGGTAAACTATCTTAAAGTACAACACCTCGTCTTTTAACCTCTTGAGTGCCGGTATATGACTTATGAGACTCTATAGACAATACATTATGTCTCGAGTACCTATATCTACGTATACCACGGGTTAATTACTGAACTTATTCGGAGTTGACAGAGATCCACATATCTAACGCTTATTGGCTATTGTTATTGGATATTCATTTAGAATTATAAAGGCAGTCCTCAAAGGTATGTTTTTAAAGCAATTAAAATAGATTAACAATATATAATGCAACAGGACATAGATTTCATCAAATCTTAACCTAGCGATCATCATCATCAACATCAACAGCCTATACATGCCCACTGCTGAGCAACGCCTCTTCTCACACGGAGAAGGTTTGAGTACTAATCACCACGCTTGCTCAATGTGGGTTGGTGATTGCAAACTTATAATTAGAAATTATAAGCCTAGGTTTACCCACTATGTTTTCCTTCACCGTTTGTCAGTGGTGTCTAAATAATCTTAACCTAGCGAGCGATAGATCATCGATACCAGAACATAAGATTAGCAACAAGAACATAAGACAATTTATTAAATTAAAATGTACTCATAAAAATAAAAAAAGAATCGAAATAGGTAAAAATAAATGTGTTACGGCCTCATTTGTCTAATGCACCTCCTTAAAATATTCCATTCCATTCACTGATTAGAAAAAGTAATTATGTTTATTTTTTAATGTCTATGTTACCTGTAACCTACTTGTGACGTCATTACTGAATATCTTCATATAAAATTCATAGATATGTGCTACATATTTGGATATTATCGATTTATTGTACTTACTATCTTCTAATATTAATCAAGAAACTATCTATTTTGGTAACATAAAATGAAAATTTTGATAAACCGAAACGCCCAATATTTTTTTACCCGGGAATCAAAGAAGAGATTTCACTTTGCTTTTTAGTATCTCTAATGATAATTCGACTATTCATTGCCGTCGACTGTTTGTCTCTATCCAGTTCAATTTCGGTAATACAAAGCCTATAGTTGAAAAATTTTCAAAAATGTTCATTGAATCATATTATATGGCAAGAGGCTCATACGCTAACACATGGAATGATGAGACTTATAACTTCCAACAGCAGCCAACAGTCTTCTGATGACCGTGGCGGATAGGACTGATGGCCTTATGCTAAAACACTGGACGAAGACGCAAGTGTTGCCTACAAACCGTGCCCAGAAGTAGTGAAAGTCAGCAGTATTGTTACTATATTATCATTATATTACCTATGACAAATTATTTTAATTTTATATGAAGAGGTGTGATGTACTAATACTAGTTTATAAGTTGTAGATATCTTTACTAACCATATGGATTGTATTATCTGAATAAATAAATTAATTAATTATTATAACATCACTGATGCCATTGTATATATAAAGATTCTATAAAATGACTAGAATTTGTTGCATACACATACGGCCACGTTAAGAACGGCTATCAGTAATAATGTAAACATGTGTGATGTGTGCATCAAACCCACACTACAGAGTTACCAATATCTCATTCTGTGGCATACTAATGACAGATATGGATCTAAATTTCTAGAACTTATGTTTTTTACATTAAAAACATAATATACATATAACATCACGCCTTTTATCTCTGAAGGGGTAGGCAGAAGTGCACATTACGGTACTTAATGCCACTGTACAATGTAACACCCACTTTTCACTATTTATGAGTCCCATGTAATAGGGGGTGAGCCTATTGCCATATACCGGGCACAATTCCTGACTCCGTGTAACTACTGAGATTTTTTTAAGACCCAGTAATACTTTGCCCGACCCGGTGATCGAACCCGAGACCCCTTGCCCAGCAGTCGCACTTGCGACCACTCGGCCAACGAGGCAGTCATATTATATGACAGTGATAAAAGAGGTTGATAAATATATTATATACTCAAAGGAAAAAACTTGTAAAGAGAAAAATAACATCACGCCTTTTATCCCCGAAGAGGTAGGCAGAGGTGAACATTACGGCAATTAGTGCCACTGTACAATGTAACACCCACTTTTCACTATGTATTTATGTTATGAGTCTCATGTAATAGGGGGTGAGCCTATTGCCATATACCGGGCGCAATTTCGGACTCCGTGTAACTACTGAGATTTTTTTTAAACTCAGTAATACTTTGCCCGACCCGGGAATCAAACCCGAGACCCCTTGCCCGGCAGTCGCACTTGCGACCACTCGGCTCACCCACCAAAAAAATATATAAAAAAAATATATACTTACATGTGTACCAGACATATTGTACCCACACATAGGTACTGGCAGCAAAGAATATGTACTGTAAGGGTATGAAGAAGAAACATATCATATCTGATGTGAGTGCTATGCAGATGAAGAATACTGAGAATGCCTGGAACAAAACAAAATTAACTTTAATATACAGACCATTATAAAGTATTTATTTGTAGTAATTTTATTATAACTTTAGAAGGGACTAGCAATGGGCTATCTCCCTATGACATGGGACTCATAACATAACTGGCTGAAGATGTTTCACTGATATATGTGTGCACCTCTGTCTGCCTAGATCTTTGGTGTAAAAGGTTCTTTTTTTCTGGATTATGGGATAAACTGGCAAACGAGCAGACGGATCACCTGATGGTAAACAATCGGCGCCGCCCATGGACATCCGAAACACCAGAGGTGTTACAAGTGTGTTACTTGCCGTTTGGGGATACAGAATTTGAGAAGTGTTGGTAATTCAGGGATTGGGAAGATTGGGGAGGGGGGATAATTGGGGCTCCAGTAACCTCACTCGCATGACGAAACACAGCGCAATCGTGGTTTTACGTCGGTTTTCTGTGAGGCCGTGGTATCACTCCGGTCGAGACGGCCCATTCGTGTCTTAGCATGGCTCTCCTAGACTATATGTCTGCAGGGTTAGTGCCATGGTTCAGTGAACAACTGCTATGCCATGTCTTATAGATTTGATTCCAACATTTTACATGATAATCTTATTAGTAGAATGGACAATGGTGTCGAGCAGTTAAGCAATAAGTTTCTTATTCGATTTCCAGATCGCGCTATATACTCTTGGATTACATAGAACTCAAAACAAACTGCTAAAAACTTGGTTATATGATAAATCGTCAAAAGGTCATTGCTTGTATCGGATGGAACCTAATACCTCACGTCAAGCAGTCGCGCTTACAACCACAAATCTAATAAGACATTCAAATTAAAACTTAAATCTTATAAGATTTTCTTTATATTCCTTATTTTAGTTAATTTTATTAATAACACACTTGAACTGTATTATGCGTCATAAAATAACAGTAATACAATTTTTCATTATGTTAAGTGGAACATGAGAATTAGAACTAAATGAAATAAATATTAAAATCCTGGGAGTTTAAATATTGTTCTACTTTAAGACAATAGCAGATAGCTTTCTCTTTTTATAATATTCCCATAGCAGATTAGAATTACATTGTAACTTAATTAATAACTTCTTATTTGGTATTTCTTTTAAACTAATGACCTAATATCCTTAGTAACAACTTGTTGACATATCACTTAGTGGCTGCTGAATATTGTTTTTTTTTTCATTGATTTTTCTAGGATTATGCAATTGTGCCCGGTATATGGCAATAGGCTCACCCCCTATTACATGGGACTCATAACATAAATAGTGAAAAGTGGATGTTACATAGTACAGTGGCATAATGTGCACTTCTGCCTACTCCATTGGGGATAAAAGGTGTGACATTGTACTGTACCCACTACTTTCCAATAAGCTTATCCTTTACTAAAATGGAAATAAAATCATAACTGACACTTTCAGTTAGATAATTACTTGCACCATAACTGGGATTTAAACTGTCAAACACCGCGAGGACACCGGTGAACGCAACCTATTGTTCCTTAATTGTGTACTCAATATAATAACTCAATATGATATCAATAAAAGTTTAAACAAGTTCCGTTTTCTTACTGTAGGAAAAATTTTATAAATGCATCTAATATCATGTAAATAAAATGAATTAAGAAATGAAATTGTAATATGTTATTTATGAACTTAGTAGACAAATAAAAATAAATTACATAATTAGAATTATTTACTTTATTTCTTTAACTATATTTTGAGTTACTTAAGGGGCCGGAGGAATACCAGTGCGAGGCCTTGTCTTGCACATGCTGAACTGGTCCCATTGACATGCATATGTACCCATTAGTTTTTATAGACTAATACTATAATCTGTACATGTAACTTGTTTTACTTTGTAAAATAAGGTTTTTTCTTTATTTCTAACTATGTTTACCAGTTTACGATTTTTGTTATTTAATTACAATGTAGTAAATAATTCAATTATAAAATGGCACTTACCAGTCCTTGATATTTGAATGAATCATAGACTGATCTCAGCATCATCCAGAAAGGCCAGAGGAACTCAAATCTGAACTCCAGCATATAGTCAGCCATGACAACTGTTGCCCAAATCATCACAAACTTCAGGTACAGCATTGAACTGAAATATAAATGATTATTCAATATATTGTTAGGAAAATTTCAGCTAATTACAGTTACAATTTGAATAAAGTCACATAGATCCACAGGAAGAAATTCCAATAGGAATAGGTGGTACCTTTGTACTTTACTTTTATATATGTTGTCCTTTATGCTGTATGTGTGTACATAAATAATAAATAAATAAGTATTTTATTAGATAATTATTTTTATGCAAATTTCATTAATATTATAAAATGTGATAGATTTTTAAGGCTTCTTTTTTTATATAACTAAAATATTATTTGTGAGAAAGCTACTAAAATGATATAAACTATAGAATTAAGATAGTCTGGCTGGAAAAGGTTTTTTACTCTGGGATTGCAGGTGACACAGATAGCAGAATATGGTAAATATTACAGTGATTCAGTAATATTTAATTTATTTCATTTTATCCTTATAGGCAGATATGTAGTGAGACAAGGATTTCCATAATGCATTATCCTTGTTAATAAAATTACATTACATCACATTTATCTAACCTATGCACTATATTACAATTGCACAACTTTTGCAATTAACAAAACTTGGAACTAGGTAAGCTTTTTTATAAAAATGAATATAAAAATATTAATCTTTTGGAGAAGGTTTTTTCTTTCTAATATTTTTTTATTTGTAATAATTATTATTTTATCACCTTTTTTAAGCATGTGAAGGTGTTTAGTGTAGTAATGATAAATGGGTTAGTAACAATACATATTTTTACTTATCTCTAACTTAAGTTAGATAATAGCTTTTGTTATCATAATGTATGAAGGAAACAAATTGCACTTAATTTTTAATTGTTCCCTGATAATTTATAGATATTGTTATTGATTTTTTTTTATTATTGTGCCAGTGTTTATAGTAGTTGTATCTGCTTGAATTTACTTTATTGAGTTATTAAAACAGTAATATAATGAGTATTCTAACTAGATTACCTTAGTAACAACTTTTATCATCAAAATACATCAATGTTTGTCTAATTATGTGGAATATTATCAACTTTAAGTTCGGTAGGTATTTCTACATGTTGGAATCAAAATAGACGAGTCTATGTTTACATATGCTTGAATTGTATATTTTTAATGTGGTATTCTAATCATATTTCGTCAAGCTCGTTGTTCAGCACGACCAATTCAACATTGGTGACATGCAGTCTACACATGTTGCACATTCGCACACATTTTATAACAAAAAACGCGTATTTTCAATTCTTTTTGTTTTCGCACCACACAGAAGGTGGGCTGCAATCGCCAGATGGTACTTTCTACCCACATACGAGATATATTCTGCAATATTTATGTTAACTTTATCACAGAATTAGATACCGCACGATACAATAAACCATTTCCTGGTAAATAATGATCAACATAAACAGTATCCACTCACTTTCCGTACATTCCTTCGGTGATTTTTGTGCGCTTCAAGGGGCGCCGCAACTTCCCAGTTTCGGCATTTCGCCGCTTCATATTTTTTCATCCACTGTGTAAATCACGAATACAGGCGCTCGTTTCACAACACTTATTTACAAGGAAACATTTAAAACAACAATGATCCTCAAAATAGTGGCTTTTGTTGTCAATCAGCCTATGTCCAAAATTTACGAGGGAGATGGATGAAATATCGGCAAGCTTTTTTTTGCGTTCACTCACACACTAAATGTTGCCCGATTAACGGTAAAAAACTTCCACTTATATTAAAATAGTAGGTTCTTTCCACAATAAGTCAGCTAACGTTATAAAAATAAATAATGCCTTAATTGCTAAGTTAATTTGTCGTAAGAACTAAATTGATACTGAATATTCTTATTGTAATAATAATTCTTATTGGGATGGGATTGTTGACATATATTGGGCATGTGCATGTTATAGTCCTGGTGAATCCATTTTACATGTGGTTGTGGTCGTTTGACTAACTGTGAATATTTGCAATCGCATCAAAAAAGAGTAAAAGGGTATCTCTTTAGGGATGAAATTTGGAACAGAGGTAGATTATTGATTGGAATTACATATAGACTACTTTTTCGTATGGGAACTTGAAAGAAGCCGCTGGCAGAAGTTAGTACTCAATTAAATTTTGCTGAAACCACAAACCAAAGCCACGCTTGCTAGCAATTCCGTCAATGATGTAGTGTTTGTCGATTGAGTGAATATGTCTGGTTGTTCATGCATGGACCTTGGTATTCATAGTCGAAGTCGAAGTAATGTGACGAAGTGACGGACGAAGCATGAAAAACGTGATTCTACCATAATGGTAGTTCTGATGTAGGCAAGCAACACCGAAATACGAATAGCTGTATAAAAAATAATGACCATTCGTTTAGTTTGGTAAATTAACTAGTAAAAAACTTTATGCGTTTCTATCCACTTATATCTTTAACTCATTTTTTGATTACTTATGAAGACTGTGGCCTTGTGACCTTGACGAATGTTGAAGACATATTTATTTTATAATCTGTGTACGGAAATTCTTACCTGTTTACGGAACTGTCATTGTGTGTGTCATTTGTCATTGTTCTTTTCATGTTGACATTTCAGTGTTTTCTTTTCAGTTACTTATTTTGTTTGTAAATAGAGGGAAAATCGAAAGATTTTTACAATATATTTCATAATTTTAAGTACATAAACTAACATATAATAAGGATACTAAACCCTTACTAGTGCGTGAAATTAGTGATCACTACTAAACGTGTATTTTTGTCACAAAACTGTAAAATTCCGAACATGTTCTTATAACTTTGGTTTAATGGATGTAAGCTGAGGAGGTTTAGGTTGCATATCAAAGAGTTACAGCATGTCTTCTCTCATGAACTCGGTGCGCCAATATTTGGCCTCTCAGCACATGTCGGTTGTCGACGACTGGCTAGCTGGGTAAGTCATAATAATTATTAGTACAATAGAAAGCAGGAAGAGCATAATTAATTCATATTCTAATCAAAAAACCAGTTTCGAGTCGAAAATTCCACTATGAACTCAGTGCAAATTTAATTTGAAAAAAACACCTATAATACTTTACCCAATTTAGGAATCGAACCTATTATATATAAACAAATTATATCCTTTTTTATTTCAATTCCAGGTGTGTAGAATACCTTTCAGAAGACACAGAAAATAATTATAGTGAGGACGATATAAAGAAGTTAGCTAAGGAACAATGGTTGTTAAATGATTTGAAGGAGATATGCCCAGGGTCTCTACCTGCAAACCTCAAGGGTCAGATGAGGACTGTCCTCAATGGACGGTTTGTGCTGCAGATCAATGCTGTTATGGATATAGGTAATTTTTTTATCTACTATTGTCGAGGCTCTGTCAGAGGTCTGCATAATACATAGGTTTATTTCACAAATCACAATAAAAATTGATTTATAAAATTAAATGCTGACACAAAGAAATGCCCGAAAGCTATGGCATTGGTGAATCGAGGGTGTGTAAAAGCGTGGCGCTCGCACGGCCGTGAGTTTTATACCAAGTCCCGCGTGCCGCCGCGTCTATAATCGATGGCCATAGTAATGCCCTAACAACTATGCTGTTCAAGAAAAGAGAATATTCCTTTTTTAAAAAAATATTAAGTCCATGAGTGGCACTGGTCAATCACCATTCATCTTAAGTATGACTAATTCTTCAACAAGCCACAAGTTAATATTTAATAGTTTGTTTATATTTATTTGTTTATATCATTTTTATTCGAATATTAATTGCTCAATCCCCAAGTGGTCATCAGTGACCGCTCTCCTCCAACTCCATTATAGACCTTATTTCCGATGTTTAGAGACTACTTTTGTATCAACTTCTGGGTATGATATATCGATGTAATAAATAATAATATTTGTATTGTAACTTACGTAAGACATACTAAATAAATTATTATGTTTTCTAGTCGAGTTCCTCGTCAAATTATTACGTGAGTAAGTCGAAAACATTATAATTTATCAATGTAATGATACTTATTTTTCTAAATTTTATTCCTATATAACCACGAAGAGACTGACTTCTATTTCTAAATTCGGAAGTGTCACAACCTAGTTATTATGTTTTTCTAGGTACACCAGCCTACCAACAGTACTTGAAGTTGCAAAAAGTGAACATGGAGAATGTGGAGGCAACCACCAACTATGAGGATAAGATCTCCAGTCACAGGTAAAGTGATGGCAATAATGTAAATATTTAATGTCTATACTTTTAATGATGCATAATATTGAAGTCCCATTTCACGGCAGACTTGGGCTATTAAAATGTATCCAACAGTACCTACTAATAGAATGACTTATACATAGTACATGCCACTTGTTTTTTAGCTTGAAATATTTATTTTCTTTCTTACTTTCTTATAAATTACACTTTTAGTCAGTCTTAGGGACCTCTTCAGTCGCGGAGAACCTAACGGGTTACCGGGGCTCCGGCTCGACGTGCATGAGAAGGAACGGGGTGGTTTTTAGTCAGTAAGAGTCTGACACTCCCTCCCGCTTCACCCAGGCGGAAGTAGTCATTCGATGATTTTACCCCTTAAAAAAAGGAACCTCTTCAAATAACCATACCAGATTGAATAATTCTCTTTTTGTTATAACTGAGCGATGTGTCTGCAGTTTCTGTAGAACAAAAATGTTAATAAGTAAAAATTTTCAGACAGACTAGTAATAAAATAACATTCTAGTCAACCTGCTCTTTCTATATGCAATAAAGGAAATAACTTTTATAAACCCTAATAAAGTTACCAAAATGCACATACAAATCTTATTGATACAAAGTTAATATTCTGTTATGAATAATGTTAGAAACAAGAACATATGTGTTAGTATATCATGTTGATATATTGTACCGAAACTCTCCAAAATTTTGTTCATACAAAAGTAGTCTCTAAACATCGGAAATAAGGTATATAATGGAGATAATATAATGGAGTTACAGGCAGAGGTACAACACATTACGGCACTTAATGCCACTGTACAATGACACACCCACTTTTCACTATTTATGTTGTAAGTCCCATATGATGGAGTTATAGACCTTATTAGTGGAGAGCACAGATTCACTGGTGACCACTTGGGGATAGAAAACTTAACAACCTTTATTAAACTGATATTTAATTTTCAGAATGCTGAAGTTGTACATGACGGATGGTGTTCAAGAAATAACTGCTTTAGAATACAAACCAATGAGGAACCTTAGCTGTGACATCACACCAGGCTGTAAAGTACTTATAAAAGGTCTGTAAGCAAACGGTGTAACTCATAAATATGAACTTTGTATGAAAACATTTCAAACATGAGCTCTTCAGAGGGCTCACTCTTGAATCTGATTCCGATCGATCGACATTGGTATTGTGAAATTTCGTACTCTTGGGTTGCAACACTAGCGCCCATTGCATCCGTATTGCGCGGATATTGAATGAACTACACGGTATTGAGTTTGGTTTTATATTCCATACCTACTCTGAATGCTATTTTAACAGCTACGATTGGGGTTGTATAGCTTTGACATTGAATAATTGGTTTCAAGAGTAAGCACTCAGAATCTCATTTCTCATGAAACAGCTACATCCTGGTCCTGCGCAGATACGTAACGTCGCCACACCGCCCACGCTGCTCTTAAAAAAGGGTCCCAATGTGACTTGAAACCAGTAGAGATTTACTCGAATATTTGGCGTGAGTAAGACGTAATTTTAATTAACTTTTTTGTATTTACAGGTCCAGTAGAATGTCGGAGAGGGCAGCTATTATTGACAGAAAGTGCCGTAGAGCTGCTAGGTGGAGAAGTACAGGAGATAGTGATATCTAACTCTCTGGCAGGACAACTGTCTGCTAAGTTAGGATTACCTATGACTCAAGGTAAGAATACAATGTCTTAGAAAATAAAAAACCTATATCTGATTCTGTAAGGTCTATTGTGTGTTGTCAATTTGATCTCGAATAGCTTTATTTGGAGCTAAAGTAAACATAACATAACATCACGCCTTTTTTCCCCCAAAGGGCAGGCAGAAGTGCTCACTACGGCACTTAATGCCACTGTACAATGTAACACCCACTTTTCACTATTTATGTTGTAAGTCCCATGTAATAGGAGGTGAGGCTATTGCCATATACCGGGCACAATTCCAGACTCCGTACTACTACTGAGACTTTAAAAAAAACCCAGTTATACTTTGCCCGACCCGGGAATCGAGCCCGAGACCCCTTGTCCGGTACGCACTAGCGACCACCGGCCAATGAGGCAGTCTTATTTCAAATGGGTTATTTGATAGTATCCTAGCTACCTATAGACCAATGTTCAGCAGAAGGCGTCATGTGAATTATAAGACGATGAAATAGGCGCAATCCTCAGCGCCATCTACCGAGTTAAAAAACTAAAATTAGGGTAGTTGTCTAAATTTTATTTCAATGTCCGTCTGGTAGATTCATTTAAAACTTTACACACGTATTTTATCTTTTCTAACAAAATTAAATACTTTCGACGATATAATAATCTGAAATATCGTGTGACGTCACAATGCGCTACATTTTGTAGCACTTAGTGACGTAACGACTTTCCATCCTAAACTTAACTCCATTTTATCTAAATATTGTAACTTTATATGAGCAAAATAAAAAAATACGTGTCTAATAGTTTTTCATTATCTAACTGATGGTCTAATTACATTTTTAATTTTCATTCCCTGGCAACTACCCATTGAAACATGACTGATTAGTTGTTGCCTTCTGTTTTTTTGTATTTAACAACTAAGTATTCTATTTCAGAATCAGACCTTAACTCGACAATGAACATGGCAAGAAACACGAACATACCAACACCACACACAGAAATGCCGCCGCCATACATCCAAGCAGCACCAACGTTTGACCAACATCAAAACATGGATGAACCACCAAACTTTGCAGATGATGAAATAGACATAGATCAACTGGCTGCTTTAGAAGAACAGCTAATAGACATACCTGCAAAGAGACCGCTAGAATCCCAAACACCAAATCCAGGGAAAAAATTCAAAACTGACACTGTAAACCACTCCTTCGACTACCCAGATGATAATGACATATTTTTGGAAGAAGATGAAGTCTATTTGAGGGAACTTGAAGCTCAAATAGATGCGAGCGATAATGAAGTTATAATATCACAGAATAAAGGCAATAATTCCGTGTCAGCGGAACCGTTTGTGTATATAAAGCAGATCAAAGATATGAGTGAAAGAGATAGAATGGGTAAAGTTTTTACAGTTAAGGGGCAAATAATGAGTTTGTTATCTAAATTATCTGTAGGTAAAGATGGGTGGAGTTTAAAATGTACCATAGTGGATGGTACAGGGAGTCTAGATGTTGAGTTCACGAGTGACGTACTGTCTAAGTTAGTTGGTTATACCCCTCAAGAAATGAGTGCTAACAAAAAGCTGTTTGCTACAAGGCCTGACTTGAAAGAGAAGACTATTTCGGTAAGTTGTCTAATATTTTTTTTATGGGATAAGCCGGCAGACGGATCTCCTGATGGTAAGCAATCGGCGTCGCCCATGGACACCTGGAACACCAGAGGCGCCACAAGTGCGTTACTGGCGTTTTGGAATTAGGAATTTGAGGATTTTTGGGGATTCAGGGATTAGGGAAAGGGAGGGAGGGCGGGTTATTGGGCATCCGGTAACCTCACACACACGACGAAACACAATACAACGTTGTTTTACGTCGGTCTTCTGTGAGGCCGTGGTATCACTCCGGTCGAGCCGGCCCATTCGTGCCGAAGTATGGCTCTCCCACACTTAAAAAAATAGGATACTTATGCCCTAATACTGAAAGCCTACTCAATTTTAGGTTATACTTTGTACGGTTTCATAACAGCACATAGCACGTATAGTCGACGTAGCAATATTGAATGCGCGTCACCCAACGCATAGCATATATAATTTAACGTATTACAGTAACCGTAGTAGTAGTACCTACTTTATCTACCAATCAACGTTAAGCAAAGAGACACGACAACTTTATTTGTAACTTTTACCAAAAACCCATTAAGGCATTGGCTGCCAATAAAAAACTGTTGAAGGCAAATCCTCCGCTAATGTCGGTCACTGGTGACTACCATGGCGTTTAACGTGTTAATACTTCGCCCGACCCGGGAATTGAACCCGAAACCTCGCAACCTCGAAGTCATGAAAAAACACTCAAGATATTTTTTCTATTTTCCAGGGCTTACAAAAAGCAAAGGATACATTACAGGTGCTGTATTGTATCATAGAGCTAACGTTACTGGATGTGCCTAAAATAACTAATCTCACACCTTTCGACGCCTCACACATCGACCAGCTGAACAGAAGAAATATGAACTGATTTTATAAGTACTATGTTATTCCAGTTTATAAGTAGAAAGAATGTAAATAATAAATATTTTATTTATTTTGTTGTAATAATGTATTTAGTTTTATTAACACACATCTTCTGCAACGACTTCGTACGCGCAATCCCATTTTTTCCCGTTCCCGTAGGATTTCCAGGATTTAGATTTCTTTCTGTCATAAGAACCTTCTCCTAATAATAACAAATACAACAAAAAAGAATTACTGAAATCTGTCCAGCCGTTGTTGAGTTAATTATATGGCAATGGACTATTTGTCTATTAGGCCTTAGGCATATTTTGCGAGTCTATAATTTATTTGGCCATATTACTCGGCAGTCGTCACATCACATCCATATTCAGAAAGGAAAGCAGGTTCAATCAGCAGCAGGATATTTAAAGAGGATAAATAAATAATAAAACAAGACAATAAAAATCCAAAGACATTTTACAACTATATTTTAATACACTTTTCGTAACTCAGTTATTGTGAATTCAATATTATACAAAAAATATCAAATAATTAACACAAGCTATCTAACGGTAGAAGACTAACATAATAACGTCAAATGCAATCGTAAAAATCATCTATAACTTGCAACACTACTTACAAAGCTAACATTTGAAATGGAAACACTAGATATTTATTATTACTGGCAACCCTTACTTCAAAAGTAGGGGAATTTATATTATTATTATTTTACAATATTGCAATCAATGAGTATATTTGTAAAATATAGCTTTACCTTAGGTAGGCTATATTTAAATTTTATTTTAAAGTAATAATGAATAAACCATTATTTAAAAGAAAACCTTCTTTGGTTTTTTAAACATTAAATTTAATTTTTACAAGCAGTGCAGATTGTAGTGATCACATAAAATCCTGAATGATAAAAGAATACAAATAAATAAGAGAAGTTTGAAATTTTAATTTAATTACAGAAAGTTCTTTGACTCTCACAGGATTTTATTATTGCAGAATACACAAAAACAATCGACTGCAGATTTTCTATCGTGTTGCATAATTTTATTAGCAACTGCGTATGCATCTAGTATTTTCATCTCAAATGTATATTCATGATAAGTGTAACAAGTCCTTAAAACATAATTAGTTGCACACGATAAAAGCAACAACTAAATTGAGCACTCAATGTTACATAATGCTTGTATTAAAACTTAATATGCGATTAAAAAATAAAATAGGTGTTCGGGAACCGACTAGTCGTGCGACTTGGCCGTTACCGCGAAGGTAGCCTAACCTTTTATAAAAAGTGTATGTACAACCTACAACGTAATGATGACAGGATGATATGAATAAAATAACATTAGTATAACTCCCATTAATTAAATGATTCAACTCATTTATTGATAGTTCAATTATCACTTAACTAAGTGAAAATAGTAGCAATTATTTATTATATTTATTAACCAGGCAGTATGTGGCGCGACCATGTTGGGGTAACGTAACCATTTCTCACAAAATGGCACCAAGTTAATACAATAAATAGAAGTTAGAATATTCCAACGAGCCCGAGATCACACGGAGATCTAAGATTGCTATGTTTATCCCACTATATACAAAACGCTCGGTACACTCCAGGACAACGAACCACCGACCGACACTATTCAGTACATTAAAATCGAGTAAAATGATTGCTTGGATAATATCAATAATGTAATCAAGATAAAACATTAACTATACATCTTATGAGATTATCTATATTTATGAATTTCATTGAAAAAGAAAATCACTTTAAAACTAGGTCTGATATAGTCGTAAAATTGACGTAATCGTTAACAGATAATAAATAACTTATCTACTTCGTTAAAAGCGACAGCCGATGTATGGGGGCATGTGGTATGAGTTGTAATGTATGCTTACATTCCTTTTGACACCGCAATGGAAGACTATCCATAGTCAGGCTGGGAGTGCCCGCTACCGTGATCACCTAACAACCTCCAACGACCCTCAAAGAATAACTTCCAGCAAAAACACGATTACATAGTACAAACATAAATATCAGAATAAATACAAAACTTGAAAACCATCGACCATTTACGTACATCGGGTGAAACATTTAATCTTAATGAGATGAGTTTAAATAGTCGTATGTATCAATGTAACAATTTTATCAATTACATTGACCGGTATAAACACTACTCACTACCCCGGCGAATAACGTCGTAAGTGCATCGTTTCGTGCTTCCCGTCAATTCCTGCAGTTTAGCACTTACGTCGTTACTCTAGCGCAGCGAATATTATATGATAATATATCCACGTGCAAGGTACTTCCAGCAATAATATTAGCAAAATATTTCGTCATAGCTTGCAACATAGATATACCGCAATGTAAACAAATGCCATTCAAACATAATTTATACAGAACAGAGTTCGCCGTGAACATTGTGACTAAGAATAGTATTCTGGAAGTTCATTATATAAAACTAACAGTAACAAGCTTAGGATGTGTCTGTAGCGATGGTTGTGACACTCATTCTGTACAGATCAGATAACGTCAGTCGGGTATGTACTGTGTATATGTAGCACCCATAGTAACGAGTAGTGTAGCAACGAGCAAACCGGACCGTCTCACGAGGACAGCTCACACCCAGCGCTACTGACGTATATATATAAACAATTCATTAATAACATAATCACATGGCGGCGACGGCTAGCGCGCACCAAACATTTAGTTTAAACGAAAAAGCCAGTAAACAATAACGAAGCTATGTACAGCGCCTTCAGTAACGTAACAACATGCGACTCGCCTACGATATAACCGATCCTACCAGTCTTCCACTTAAATGCCAATCCACAAGTTTAGGCCGTGGGGAGTGCCGCGGCGCTTATACGATCCTCTCGTAGAACAGCAGGTAGGCCTGCGCCCTCAGCACCTTCTCCTCGCTGACCTCCGACACCATGCTGTCCGACACGAAGTACCACTTGCCCGGCGGGGGCTCCGCCGCCGACGCGCCCTCGCCCGACTCGTAGCCCGACAGCTCGGAGTCGGAGTCCCGCTCGGCGTCCCCGGCGGCGGCGGCGGGCGCGCAGTTGGCGCCCCTGGGCAGGAACCACCAGCGCGGGTCGCCGGCGCGCACGCGGCCGCGCACCTTGACGTAGGCCACGTAGTGCCCGCCGTGCATGCCGCCCGAGTGCTCCACCACGCCGTACAGCGAGTACAGCAGCGCGCCCTGGCCGCGCGCCACGTTGGCCAGCTTGCGCACCTTGTCCATGGCGCAGAAGGGCGCCAGGTCCAGCACGGTGGGGAAGTCCACGTGCTTCGACATCTTCCGGAACATGCAGCGCGGTCCGATCTGGAACCGCTTCAGGTGCAGGATCAATATGGCAGGCGGACTCGACACTAGGAATCGCTTGGTAGCGTTAGTGTACACGGTCTTGCCGTCCTTGCCGTTGATCCGCTCGGTGCAGGTCTCGCAGCCGACCTTGTTGTTCCCGGTCAGTAGTTCCAGCGCGGTGAACTGACTCAGACACGACTGAATGCTGCATTCATCTTCGTCGCAAACATAGCGCGGTGATAGTGGACTCTGTCGTGAGTAAGGCATGAAGTCCCTCTGATTCTTCTCGGCTTCGATATTGTTAACTTTGGGTTTAGGCGCGGGTGGCGGAGGCTCCACGGGTGCCTCCACTGTGACGGGTGATGGTAACGCGGGCTTTTTGGTCTTAGAATCCTCTAAATTGTACAAATTCAGTTTGTCCAAATGATTGTTCAGGTCATTGAATGTTTTGCTCTCGGGCAGGGACTCGTAGCTACTCTCTCCGCTGTGTTCGAGCACACTGCGACATCCCTGCACACTGATGCCGCGGGACACGACCTCGTTGGAGTACTCGGGCACAAATGATATTCGTGACACTGGCCTCTCGAATTCTGTTTTCACAGGGGACAGTTTGTTGTGTTGCGGACTTGACAGGTCCAGGTTAATTTCGCTGGAGAGCGAACTATGACTGCCGAGCTCTTTGCCGTTAGTGGGAGAGTCGACGTTGTCAACAGTTTCTGTAGAGTTGTGTTTCGTAGCCTCCGGGCTGGCGACGCCGGAGTCGGGGTTGGAGAGGTTCTCCAGTGACATTAGAGGTTTGTATTCGAGAGGGATCGCAGTGGTCGAGGTGGAGTGGTCGGCGAACTCGACCTTGTCCTTGTCGGCATGCTCGGGGGTGTTGTCTGCCTTCTCCTTGTCCATGTCGACAGGACTGGTGCGGATGGAGTCGGAGCTGATCACCTTCTCGGAGTTGTACCCTGACTCCATGTGGTAGGCGGCGAAGTTGGCGGCGGTGTGGGCGATGGCCTGCGTGCCCACCGACACGGTGTGGGTGTCGGGCTGGCGGGGCATGTCCTCCAGGTTGTCCTCCACGTCGGCATCAGATTGCTCCGACGATGACTTACCGTCCGCTTTGGCAGTGCCGTTAGTGTCTCCGGACGGCTCGTCTTTGGACGTTGAGTTACCTGGAAAGATGAATTACAAATAAGCTTTTGATCAACTTGAAATTATAATACTACGAGTAATGGACACGAGTGTAAATAGCTGGCGTGACGTGCGATTAGTCTTGAAGCTTGATAGATACCGAGACAATTATGTTCCCATTAGGTGGTAGACAGAAGCTATGGTTGATAGATACATAGTATGAAGCAGAGAAAGATATATGATGCGATGCCAGCCAGGCGAGATACGGTGACACGTCATAGTGCTAGAGCTACCACCTTTGTTCTTCCTGGCAGCTTTGCGCGCAGCTATCCGCTCCTTCTTCAGCTGATGTTTGGAAGGTTTCTCCTCTTGTGCATTGTAAACATTCTCTTCTGAAAATATGTTCTCTTGTCATTACATGCCTTAGTTACTACACATTGATTTGCGTTAACACTGCTCGATCATGTTTGCACTACATAATCCTACAGCCATTCCCTACAAATACTAATATAACACGATAGGATAGATTTAGAGCCTCGAAGTATTTGAATGGAACCCATCAATAATATTGAATTGCTTCATGTGTATAAGTTTACACTCAGTGGTTCTACACAAATTAAGAGACATAGTAATGTCTCCTACCTAATCTGAAATCACTCTAATTTAAGTGATCATGTTTATAATGTTAATAAGTGTACACGTAAGTAATAACCGACACCATGTTAAAAATATAAAATTTTGATACAGTAATGAATAGTAGTTGCCTACAAGTTTATACAGGTACATATTAATAAATCAAGTAGTGCAATACATTTCGAAAAGTGTAATCAAGCAAAGCGTGCCAATTTACTACGACATTATATCGTTTTAGGCAGAAATTGACAAAAATTATCACATCATGGAGGTCAGTAACAACGCAATATTTTATTAATTTGGGGACAAATCTTCGATTGGAAAACATACAAGTTAATATTAGTTATAAATACAGTCTCGTTTAATAGGCGTGGCACACAGTCAGGTCTGGATATCTTGTAACATCAGATTTATATCCTTTGAAATAAGGATTAAATTGCTTTGTTGATCTAATGTGTACACCAATCTTTGGTTTGGGCAAACAAAGTACTATTATGTTATTAAAAGTGGCTTTAGAAGATTTATGGTGAATAAGTGGCTGTCGTATTTGTTCGAAGTATTGGTTTTTTTTAGTATAAAAAACAGTGTGTGTTGGTATGTACCCTCTACCACTACTGTGCAGAGTACACCGGTACATCTATAGTTTACCAAATCATGAATTCATTATTAAGGTTTCAAGAAGCCCATCACATTTATGCCTGCATTTTTTAATCACCCCTTGTCATTATAGTTTTGTATTTCTTATAGAATAAGTCGGTAAACGAGTAGATGGGTCACCTGATGGTAAGCAATCGGCGCCGCCCATTGACATCCGAAACACCAGAGGTGTTACAAGTGCGTTACCGGCCTTTTGGGGATTTGAATCCGAGGTTGGGAATATTGGGGAGAGTAATTGGGCTTCTGGTAACCTCACTCACACGACGAAACACAATGCAACTTGTTTCACGTCGGTTTTCTGTGAGGCCGTGGTATGACTCCGGTCAAGCCGGCCCATTCGTGGCGAGGCATGGCTCTCCCAAACTTGTGTACTTGGCACATTAACAATACCGGATAACAATTTACCTATACATCTAATCCATTTACAATAGGTAGGTAATGTGGTTAATTATTATTTTATGGTAAATAATTATTATGAATAAATGTTATAGATTAGAACTGACCACTATCCCTGATTTGATGACCACAACGATGAACACAAACGCCAAAATTATTACCTACAAATCATTACCATACCATATCTATAAATTAGTTTTATTAAACCTAGGTTACAGTTCAGTATTTCAAAATAAAAAAATTGAAGTAAGTTTTTAGAAAACCTTACAATAACTGTTTTGTTATAGAACAGTTTAACACCCATTTTGATTAGAAAACCCTGACCAATTTGTGTGTAATCCAAACCATATAAACAGCTCACAAAAGCCATAGTTATAAAAACTACACATAGAAAGACAGCACAGAATCATATAATTATACTTTGTAACATACCATTTGGTGTTTTCCTGCGGACAACTGCTGGGGGCTGTGGACGACTGGCAGCAACTGGTAGTGACAGGTCAAGGAAGTATTCCGCCCTGTCTGACTGATGAAGACATTCTTGACATTCCAAGGTCGATACTAGGAAGCCACGGAACACCTGGAAATAAGAGGTCATGTTTTTTAATTACAAATAATGTGTATGTTGTGTGGTTGCATGCATGACTGTTTTATGTATATACTTATGTAGGTATTTTATTGGTGCAACATATATCTGTCTATAAGTGGCCATTGCTCACGAAAGGCCTCTTGTCACACGGAGGAGGTTTGAGCATCAATCACCACGCTTGCACAACGCGGGTTGGCGATTACAGACTTATTAATTAGAAATGATAAGCTCAGGTTTCCTCACGATGTTTTCCTTCACCATTTGTCAGTGGTGTCTAAATAATTTTAGAAAGTACATGTAACTCGGAAAGATTCACATTGGCACTTGACGTTGGTAGGTTTCGAACCCGTGCCCTCATGCACGTGAAGCGGGCGTCATAAACCTTCGGGCCACCACGACGGTTTTATGGATGCGTCACATCGGGATTTCAATCTCAGTTAGACAAGAAGTCGGTTAAAATATTATTGAGTTTTGGACTTATCATAATTTTATATAACTGTTCTAAGTGTGGGAGAGCCATGCTTCGGCACGAATGGGCTGGCTCGACCGGAGTGATACCACGGCCTCACAAAAATCCGACGTGAAGCAACGCTTGCGTTGTGTTTCGTCGCGTAAGAGGGATTACCCCTTCCTCAATCTCTGAATCTCCAACGATCCTGAAACTCCTAATCCCCAAAAGGCCGGTAACGCACTTGTAACGCCTCTGGTGTTCCAGGTGTCCATGGGCGACGCCGATTGCTTACCATCAGGTGATCCGTCTGCTCGTTTACCGGTTTATGCTCTAAAAAAAACTGGAATCCAAAAGCAGGTGTTTCATTACCTTGAAATACTTAATAAAGTAGTTGGACTAAAAGATATAGTAGGTCGCATAATTTACTTCAGCAGAATCAAACTAAATTATGTCCAGTTGAAAAGTCATGCAAATGATCAGAGCAACCTAATAACTACTATTACCGTAGGCCAGTCAAATATTGGTTTTAATTAACACACGCTACTACGGCATCAATTACACAAAACCAGTAGTCACAAAGCATTCATAATACAATTTGTACAATTCTAAACTAGAAGCAATATAAATATTGATTCATTCAAACTCGATCATATTCAAAATTATGAAACAAAATACTGCTAATTCAACAAACGCAGGCAGGAAAATCGGGACGGAGGGGGATTTATTAAAATTTATTATTATTACTAGCACATTCCCGGCACATAGCTTTCGATTTCCGAGTCAGGCAAAGTATTACTGGGTTTTTTTTTAAATCTCAGTAGTAGCACGGAATCTGGAATTGTGCCCGGTAAAAGGCAATAGGCTCACCCCCTATTACATGGGGCTCATAATGTGCACCTCATGTGGCATAATGTGTACCTCTGCCTACCCCTTCGGGGATAAAAGGCGTGATGTTATGTTATGATGACTAGCACATAATTTTCGTTTTACTTGCGTGCTGTTTATAAACGTCGTAATATTATGATTATTATTTTCTCAAAGCAAAATAGAACAGACAGATTTCTATTAGCATGTGATATGTCCTCATTTTGAATAGGAAAATTCATCATCGAGAAAAACTTCTTTGGAAAACGTCAATACACACACAAAGAGGCTATACAAAAAGGCTATATAAAATTTTACGTGACGAGTATTTTATTAATATAAAGTTAAATGCTTTCTACTCATATTTTTAATTTCTATGGCAAAACTATCACTGTACAACTGCTATAACGGATCAAAGGGAGGAAGTGGGGAGTCACACGAAAAATCTCAATCTCATCATATAAAAGTGTACTCCCGGATCTAATTTTATACCTTGATTACCTGTTCTGGTCTCAGCATAGTGTCAGATGCTTGTTGTCCGTAGAATTTGACCTTCTGTTTGACCTCGCCGTCGACCTTCGCTGGGTCGACCTTGGAGTTCATACCAAGGCTGCTCAGTATCACTGACTGATAACGACGAAGGTCCTCTGACCTGAAGACAGATGAGCTATTGTTGGTACATGTGTATCAGAAGTGTGCAGTGTTATTCTAGTTATTATTAGAAGATAGACTTAGAGATAAGTGCATGTATTAGAAGCCAAGGCGTACTTATAACACAATAAATACTAGGCATTCATGTCCGTCTGCAGGGACATGCTGAAATTGGGTCTTTACTTAACTATATTTGCTCAAATTAGCGCTTCAATGATATACTCAAGCACGAAGTACAATCTATCACTTGGTATGCCCAAACACAAAGTCCCTTCTTTCTCTCGATTTGAGCAGAGTAATACCAAAAATACCTTATTGTGTCCAAGAGCATTGTGATCCTAATATTATAATTATTAGATGGAAAGTGTAATTCTAATAATGTCGTTAACATTCTGTAAGATATAGCTTGTACATGTACAGTTTCTCTAGAGTTCATACCTGACAGCCTCTAGGAGATGCCTGAGCAGCTCATGGGCATCATGCTGGTCGCCTCCACCAAACTGCGGCAGCTTGTTCACCAGCGCAGACAGGAGCTTCCTAGGCGTGTACACACCACCTTCTCCTGGAAACAATGGAAAGGTTTTTTTTATAATACTTGGGGTCAAGTGCAAGGTCAATAGCTAGTGCAACTGATAAGTTTTGGAAATGAATTACGAATTTCATCTTAGGTATTTATAGAGCACCGACAATAGATACTAGAATATCTGAAGGGCCTTATGCCTAAGGTACCTTGAAGCATTACTTCGAGTAGACTGATTACATTAAGTGCAGAGTGCAAGAATCTTTATGTCAAGTTTCATGTTATTGGCATCATTATGCCTTTAGTAATCGAACACCAAATGTCACACGTGTCTCTGAGTCATCTGTTTAATACTTTAGAACTAAATAATGTTCAGTCGCCGCAACAAATACGCTCCTTTAAATAATTATGGGATTCAGAATACAACTGCTAACCCCACGAGAAATAAAATACGCGGTTTTAATGTGTAAATAGATTCTGGCATTGTGGAGATAGATTTCCAAAAACCTAAGTACGAAAAGTAAAAAAGAAAACATTGTCTATTAAAATAATCTTATACTATCATATAAAGCGGAAGGGTTTTTTTTTGTTTGTTTGTTTGAACGCGCTAATCTCCGTAACTACAAGTCTAATTTGAATAATTCTTTTTGTGTTGCATAGCACATTTATCGAGGATGGCTATAAGCTATAAAACATCACGCTACTACCAATAGGAGCTGAGCAGAGCGTGAGAAACCGCGCGGAAGTAGCTAGTTCATTTATATACTATGTTAAAAAACTGACTTCAACTGAATCTTTGGTGGAAGTCGGTTAATAAATAAACTAAAACCTTCTCCTAAGTATAACAAATACTTTTCTGAAAACCGCATCATAATTAGTTCAGCCAATCACGAGATAATGGCGCACAAACATACATACAGGTCAAACTAAGAACCTCTTTCCTTTTAAGTCGGTAAAAAATACAGTTTTGAAGGACAGATAAAATGAAGTAAAAATAAAAGAAAACGAAGTGCGTTGTCGCGTTGTACAGACTTGAAATGCAAAAATGTGACAATCGATAAGCCGCTGAATTGTTAAGTGACGGACATTATCATAGGGTACCTACTTTAAACTTGGGACGAATATCACCTGGATCTAAAATATTCACTAGGCTTTCACCCCAGCTTCACATGCAACTTTCCTGGTACATTTTATAAAATTTATTTCATACATTCTTTTCTTTTATATTTAATGGGTTGTTTGATTGAGTTTGATCACTATCTCGCCTGGTGCTGTATTTTTGCTGACAATATAATTAACTATCTGAATATTACCGACTTGATTGATTCAGATTCAACATATTATCGAGACTGCGAGTAGTCGTATCTATAGAGTGCGACTGTCGATTAAGGGGTTTTCGGTTGCATTCTCGGGTTGGCTATTAAGTATTATTGAGTATTTTGGATTGTACCCGATTTTTGGCATAAGACCTACATACCATACATAGAATCATTGATGTCCTACGAGAAATAAAAGGATTAATGTTAAATTTTAACCGAAAATATCTTAACACAATATTCCCGAACTTATTATAACGTTGCTTAAAAGTATAATAAATAGTTAAACAGATTTACGTAGCACAAACACATTTAACCCTGAGTCGGTGTTTTCCTTACCGATTGCATAAATACTCATAATCTTGAACGCATGTAATTGCGCCCTCACCTTGATCGTACATACCAAGTAAAGACTGAGGCTAAATTCATACCTTTATTTATAGAATTAATTATTATTTTGTCCATATTTATAAATGTAATTTACGGAACATTGCCCCGTTTGTGCGAAAGATAAGAGGGATTCTATTATTGAGATAATCTAGAAAATCTAGAAAGTTCTCTGTAATGGTAACAGATCCTGAAGTTGTCGTGCTATAGCCGCGCCGTCGGCACGTCTTCTTTTTATGAGATACGTTGGCAAACTAGCAAAAAGACCAGGGTGCTTCCTCTTGAAACCAATCTCAATGTCAATGCAATTTCAATCCAATAAAACCTCAATAATTATTCAATGTCACAACTATACCCCTATCTTAGCTGTTAAAATAGCATTCAGAGTACGGAATATAAAGTCAAACTCAATACCATTTAGTTCATTCAATATACTCGCATCTCGAGAAGAGTTACAAGTGGCTAGCCTGTTTTTCGGGATTGGGCCTCCATTATATAGACGTAGGATTCGTTACTAAAGTACCTAATCTTATATTGTTATAGGTATAAAGCTGAAGACTGTTTGTTTATTTGAACGCGCTAATCTCCGTAACTACAAGTCTGATTTGAATAATTATTTTTGTGTTGAATAGTGCATTTATCGAGGATGGCTATAGGCTATAAAACATCACGCTGCGACCAACAGGAGCCGAGTAGAACGGGTAAAACCGCGCGGAAGTGGATCGAGTAAAAATATAAGGGGCCTTAATAAGTAAACATCACGACTTTTATACCCGAAGAGGTCGGCAGAGGCACACATTACGGCACTTAATTCCATTGTACAATGTAACACCCACTTTTCACTATGTTATGAGTCCCATGTAAACCAGGTGAACCTATTGCCATATACCGGGCATATTTCCAGAGTCCGTGTTACCTTCTTATTTTTTCTTAGAAAAGCCCGACCCGGGAATCGAACCCGAACCTCCTAGCCCGGCTGTCGCACTTTCGACCACTCGGCCAATGAGGCAGTTATAAGTAAATGAAATATTAAAATATTCAATGGAAAGTATCCACCACTACATTGTACTGTTATTTATATAAAATGTACATAGTAATGTCGAATGCGTCGGCCATGGAGCATTTACATACATACAGTTTACATAAGGAATTGTAAATAAGTATAACGGGAATCATTTGACATCTAGAAACAAAAAAATCTATTGCTAAAAAAACGTAATGATTTAAGTATTGTGTTAGCGCTAATCGTGTAGACAAGGCTATTAAAACTGATAAAGAAATCGTGATTCATCTAGTGCTTAATTCTTTCAGGAAGTTAATTTTACTAAGTTTTTTCTTTTGAGAAATAGTTGGATGCCAGAGTAGGTAATATTATGACGATAGTTGGCAGTAAAAATCAAAGAGGATAGAAATTATATTATATACATGACTGCAATTAAATTAGTGACAAGTTGAAGACAAGCCAAATGATTCTTTGTATTTGTTTTTAAAATATACTTTGCCGTACCTAGGACTTTCTCCTGTGTCGTGGGTGCGTTTACAAACATACAATTTCACATACATATGACACCCAGACCCGAAACAACAATCTGTGAATCGCATAAATAGTTGTTCCGTGCGAGAATCGAATATTAATTAATTAATTAATTGAATGTAAATCTAAATATAATATTGAATATAATCAGTATAATTTCAGAATAGGATATTTATTAAGCTTTTGTAATAAAAATCGCCAACCCACATTGACTAAGTTTGGTGATTAAGAAGAGGCTTTGCTCACATACTTATCTTAAACTATTATATAAAGCTGAAAAGTGTATATATCTTTGGCAGCGCCCTCATAACTACTAGTCTGATTTGAAAAATTCCTTATGTGTTGCATAGCGCATTAATCGAGGAAGGTTATAGGCTATAAAACATCATGATATAACTAATAGGAGAGAGTAAAGCGGGTGAAATCGCGCGGAAATAGCTAGTAATATTAATAAGATGCTCAGTAGTTATGAAACAGCAGCTATGCTCTACAATACAAGTTCAAGATTAATAATTCAATGTCAATGTGTTTTAATATTTATCAAAATATTGTCCGTATCTGCTTTATCAGTGCTTGGGGCATACATAATTACGATAACACTACAATTTTATAATTACTTTTGTGCCAAATAATGGTATGAATCTCTTCCTAGCGATAGAAATGTTTTTTTTTAAGGAAAATAAAAAATTTGCCAATCACACCCGAATACAAAAATTGCAAAAAAGTTGTACTTAAATATGGTGCCATCTTTGTCATTTTACATAAGAATTGTAATGACAAAACTATATTCAAACATAAGTTGAAATTGAGTAGCCTTTCAGTGTTTGGACGATAATCATCTAATACTTTGGTAAAATATAGAAAATTGAATATGAATACCACATTTGTAAAGAAAGAATAATATTACTGTACTGTGCAATGCACTGCACAACCAACTATTAACATTTCTTTCTTTAAAACAATAAACAAGATACTGCAATTTCAAATCTACAATAGCAAACTAAAGAAAAATAGCTATCCACCCATAGCAACTAACACCGCCATAATATTTTGTATGTTAAGCGTTAAAATATATTTTTAAAACATGTCCAGACTGTTAGACTAGACGAGGGAAGCGTGAAATCAGGTCACAAATCTAATTATAGGTAACCTATGTTTGTGGGTTGGCTACAAATTGTGCTTGAAGATATCTTGTCAATACTAATATACATGTGATTGGATTTTATAGTGTATAATATTAGAAAATAATATTAAACCAACAGTTAAGTAGTTTAAGTAAAAATGTAATGTATACGGATATAAATAGTAGCACTAGCACAATATTATATTTATGAATTTAATTGTATCAATAAAATTTAAATATTGAAATTATTATAAACTTTTTAATTGAGATTTATAGAATAATAACTCATTGATTTAAGTATGTCAAAAAGACAGTTGCAAAAACATAACCCTTCCTTTATGACTATAAAGTATAGTAGTATAAAGTTTAGAAGAGCTTTCATATTTTAAATATGATTAGTCAACTCAATAATAAAAAAAACAAGTTTACAATAAGAAAAACATTGAACCTAGAAGTAAATGAAATCAGTAGTAAAGCAATGCAATTGTAATCAAACAAAGGTTTTGTTTATAAATGAAAACAGTATGACACATTAGCTTTATAGGACAAAGGAAATCATTAAATGTTATAAGTTTATCACAAATGTTGAATGAAGATGGACTTATTTGAAAAATTAAAATAGTATTGAACTTTTTAATCAGTAGATTGTGTGCCGAACTTTCATACATACCTTATTGTTATGAATTAAGGTTGCAAATAGATACAGCTATTGCATTATAATGTTAACAAAGAAATCAACTTCAGCAATGATTATAACCCTACCAGCTGTCATAATTCTCAATAAAAAACTGCAACCATTATTTAGTTAGCAATATTCACATATGTATATTATTCTGAATAAATATAATTATTTACTATTTATTTCTGAAAGTTCTTATTATCGTGCCACATGTATCTTGTTCAATGTTTTTGTTGTGATTGTGAATGCAATAAATATGTAACTAGTTTGTAAAGATCATTAATTTCTGTTAATGCACACAAATGTTTGTGCATACAAAGATACAGAGGTAATAAATTCAAGGTTTATGTTGCACTACATTAACAGTTATCATGCCAATGTTAAATGGGAAAATAATGATTGAATCAATTTCTACATACCTGCCTGTAGTTCACTCAGAGTCTCAGCTAATGTTCGAGTTAAAGATCCCCACTCAGCCAGCTGGCCTGTTATTGGAGGCAGCTCCACCTCCTTGCCATCATCACCATCAGGTTTCAACTTCAACTTTCCACCAGGCAATGTAAACCTCTCCCCTGGATTAGCCATCTCCTGTAGAACTTGCAATAAGTATGGTGTTTGTACCAAACATTGCATGACTGAATTAAAAAAGCATGTGTTTCCTAAGTTAGTAAGTCCTCGGACCCTCGGTAACCCATTAAACATGGCTTTGTCTTTTCCTTTTGATAATGGGTCAATTTTAATTATGGTTTCTACAGTTGCTATGTCAGTTTTAGAGTCCTGAATATAGGGCAGTTCTATTGGAGGGAGTGATTTAGTATTTCCACCTCCAATAGCCTGTTTCTTTAGGTATTCAACACATTCATGCAGCTTCTTAGCACTAGAGGCTGTAACTTCATTATTGCAGTTGTAACAGTAGATGTCCCAGGTTGTGGTATTGGCTGTGAGTGCATGGCAGTCAGAGCGCGGGGTCTGGAAGTGATTCAATGCGTGCTTATTGCGCGTTCGACCACACAACTGCGAACCACAGCGCAAGCACATCCACAAAGAAAGATCTTCCTCATAGTCGGGGTCAGGAACCTCAATTTTAGGCGATTTCTTGCACTCAGAGCAGTCCTTTTGGAAACCACCAGTTTTAAGCGCCTTCTTTAGCTGGGTCAGGTCAACGGCTTTAGCAACATGAGGACATGCGGATTTGACGTTTTCATCGCAAGATTCCGTAGATTCGTCGCCATTCTCTCCAGGATCGCTTTGTCTCTTTTTCTTAACCATTGTCACGTCTCAATGTAACCGCCTGCAACACGTAACAAGATACATGTGGTAAGAATAACCGCACTAACACAAAAAGAATAAAATGTCAAATCTATGTCGATAGCCATTGCACGCGTGACAACGCACATTCATCGCGTATGGCCCTCAGGAAATGTGCAATCATGCCAACGGACTATAAATAAAATTATCCCCTACTTACAGTTACATATGACGATGAAAAACTATCTTTAAAACAGCGAGTATAACAAAAAGATAAAGTTTTCCAATTTTGTCAGAAAAGTGTACCACCGTCAACCATCTTTCTATAGCAATGTTACCAATATAATTGAGAATGGAAAATAAAAAATATCCAATTTACATCAAATCTGAAGTGATAGACTGCGAAACTTCAAAAAATCGACTACAAAACAATTTCGCAGCTGTCAAATAACCATCAGTGGTTCACCTCTAGGTCTTATTAACGCCATCTATTGACAAATAGAAAAACTAAATTTCTGAAACGTCAACATGATCGTGATGGAATCTGCTAATCAAATTGTGAATTTTCATTGATTTTTGTTAAATTTACGGCGAAATTTGTGTATAATATATAAAAATTCAGTATTTTGAAGTGTGACACCACCATTCTAATTGTTGTAAATATGTCGTTTGTTGGTAGTTGCTCAAATAAATAAAGTGGAAGAAGTTGTTGTTGGTGATAAGTTTGTGTTGAAAATTTGCGAAAATGTCTTTACCTGGGAATGGAATCTTCGTGGTGCAGGGCGAGATGGCAATGCTCGTCACTGCCATGCGACGAAGCACTCGCTGGGGCTCGCATTCGTTCCCAAACGAAGAGTATGACGTATTGATGAGAACATTCCAAGATCTTAAGACGATCTTGAATCAAGTGGATGATTTACGCCTCCTGGATCCTGCGACGTATCTGAGCCCATTCCTGGAAGTCATCAGGAGCAAGGAGACCACTGGCCCTGTCACCAGTTTAGCTCTCTCTGCCATACACAAGTTTTTATCCTATGGCCTAATAGGTAACTGACTTTTACTTATTATTTTATAACTAAATATAGTATCGCATCTTTTTAAACTTGAGGGGGTAGGCAGAGGTGCACATATTCAATGTAATATTTACTCCATTATCACTAGCTATATTATGAGTTCCAAGGAAATAGCCAAAAACCTACTATCATATTATAATGGGCATGTTATACTTAGACTTCCTCATTGGCCGAGTGGTCGCAAGTGCGACTGCCGGGCAAGGGGTCTCGGGTTTGATTCCCGGGTCGGGCAAAGTATTACTGGGTTTTTCAAAAAATTCCCAGTAGTAGCACGGAGTCTGGTATTGTGCCTGGTATATGGCAATAGGCTTATCCCCTATTACATGCGACTCATAACATAAATAGTGAAAAGTCGGTGTTACATTGTACAGTGGCATAATGTACACCTCTGCCTACCCTTTCGGGGATAAAAGGCGTGATGTTATGTATGTATGTATGTTATACTTAGGAAATTTCATATCTTGAATGAAACTTAATATATGAAAATATTTCACTTATTGGTTACATGATTGATGTTTTTGTTTCATAGGTACACAATAACTAAATATGAATGTTGCAACAAATAATATATTTGATGTAACAAATTAAATTTAACTCGTTGAGTACCGTCATTATAGACACAATTATAGAACAATAGGTTGCGGTCACCGGTGGCCGCTTAGTGTTTGACAGTTTAATGAAGCTTAGTCAGTTACTCCAACAAGCAGCATGCAAGTAATGTAACATCTTGTCTGTAGAATAATAAAAAAAAAATTTAAACCTACTTTCTGAAATGAAACAAATTTTTCCTAAATGTTTTGATATGAGGTGTCAATTAACTTGTTGAGTACCGTCATTATAGACACAAGAAAGAACAATAGGTTGCGGTCACCGGTGACCGCTCGGTGTTTGACAGTTTAAACCTCATACTGCTGCCTAATCAGCTACTAGTTAGAAATCAAATGTCTTCTACTAGATTTTTCAACCATCATAAATAAATAAAATAAAATAAGCCTTTATTATTACTGAGGTTACAAATTTACAATTGATTTACTAATTATGCATCACTACGTTCATCCAACGCTTGTCCTTTGACATAGACCTCCTACAAAGATTTCCACTTTTCCCTGTCTCCCGCAATTCTCATCCACTCTTGTCCAGCAGTTCTCCTTAGGTCATCTTCCCAATGCTTCGGTTGTTGCCCTTTGCTCCTTTTCTCATCTCTGGGGTATCATTCTAATATTGTCTTTGTCCATTTCATATTCCTTTCTCTTATTATATGCCCTGCCTTTTCAATCATATTACCAAACTTTAGATCCCTTTTATCTTAAAGAGAATTATTATAAAGATAGAATAATAGTTTATAACTATTTATAAATTCATTAACATATACCTAAGTAAGTTGTTATAAAATTTTTAATTGACGATTAGGTACTTAAAGCTTATTTATTATACTAGCTATTACCCGCGGCTTCGCTCGCGTCGTCACAAAAGGATAAAAAGTAGCCTATGTGACATATACCAATCAATACACACAGCGCCAACTATACCAATAATTTCGTTTTCCCTCAAGAATATCAAATTTTTCCAGGATAAAAAGTACCCTATTATTTAATCCAGACTTCTAACTTTAATTTTACAAAAATTCAAAACAATCGGTTTAGTAGTTACGGCGTGAAAGCGGAACAAAAAAACAATCTCACTTTCCGATTTATAATATTAGTAAGGATTGAATTGAATGATCCTGGGTATAAGTATGTACCAGAAAAATGATAGGTCTGTCCTCATAATAAGGCAGTTAGCACTATAATTAAAGAATAGTTGCTTCATATAGAAGACCGCTAGGTGGCGCTGCACCGAGCACGACGTAAAAGTAGACGCGCCGCATTTAAATTTCTTTTAAAAATATTAGTAGTGCATAAAAGTTGATAAAACCAACTACATCGACAATTTAACAACTAATTACCAAGTGCAAGTGTTATCCAAAAGTAAAACTCATAAATAGTGCAGTTATAACCACTTAAACTCGTAACTCATAGCCGACCTAAATGTCAAGAAACATAATTGATTTTGCATATAAACTTGAAATTGTGTTTGAAATAAATAATAAATAACATAAATTAATAACAATAACAAATCAAATGTGTGTAAAAGTGCATAACAGTAATTTGAAAAATAAAAACATCAACCGCCAAAATTGAAAATAAACAAAAAGGATATTGACCCTCTATTTTTCTTGAAAAGAACTTTCTCTAAGCAGTACTTTAATTTTGTCACAAGTTAATATGTTCGAATGGCTGAATGCACATGACGTGTACTTTAAATATTATGCACATGTAAGTGGACGCGAGTTCGAAACTCAGTAACGTCTTTCACTTTTTGTACGTTTTGTAAGCAGATTAATTCATCAAAGTATAGCTGTTTCTCCTTGGTAAAATACAAGAACAAATATTTCGAAGAAAAAGGTATTGATTTAAATAAAATAACAACACAACTGCGAGCCATCTATTTGATCAGTAATTCACCAACTGAATTAACTTAGAGACGAGCTAATTCAAACAACTATTTAATGTACGACTTGATCTGGTGGTATTCGCTCAGACTTGTGTGACGAAGTACAGTGGTTCGAGTCCCAGATCTTGAAGCACTTTTTGGAGTTTAATTCGAATTAAAACATGAATTTCTTGGAAAATATAACATTTAGACGACACCGCACACGTTCCGAACCAAGCAATGATGACAGTGACGTCATCTCACAAACATTGAACTGTACAACTAGTAGTATGCCGGATATTTCCGAGGATGAAGACGAACAAAAACAAATAAAATTAATGAAAGACGAAATTACTAAGTTAACTTACCAATTAAATAGTGCCCATAAAGAGATTGAAACATTATTATTAGAAAACAGTAGTTTAAAGAAAAGTAATGCAGAATATGCTAAAAAACATGATGTCTACAAAAAAATTGTGAGCAGTCCAGCTAAGATTAAAGCAACTACACCAATATCACAGAAAACCAAAAGGACAGCAACAAAGCAAACACAAACGCACGAAAATATTAATAACTACCCACCGCCATCTACAACTACAAGTAGCGGCCAAATGAAATTAAACACTAAACACACTGGATTAGATGATAATACAGTAAATCAAGTCACACCAGGCAAAGTAATGAAAAATACCACGAAAAAACACCAATTGTGTGTAATAAGCAGTGAAACCTCCAACAGATTATATAATATTGCAGAAAGAACTGATTTATGTAATTATCGAATGTGTCATTTCCGAAAACCTAAATGCGGGGTAGAACAAATTTTGGACCAGATAGAAAAAAAAGTACAGGAGTTTACATTGTCAGATTGTTGCATTGTTTATATTGGCGAAGAAGACTTTCGAACAACACGAAACTATATTGAGCTTGTTACGTTTATTAGACAAAAACTGTTGCCACTACATCACACAAACTTTATAATATGTCTGCCAACTTACAAATATATGGAGAATGTCAATGTAATGTTTAATAGCCGCATTGAAACATTCAGTAACTTACTTTGCATGGATGTATGTACCTATAATTATGCTTATATTTTGGATTCAAATCTTAATTTGCCATATAGCTCTGAGACATATAACAAACGTTACGGAACTCTAAATAATAGAGGTTTGAGGATTGTTTTATCAGATTTACAAGACCTAATCAATGACCTAAGCATCCAAAATAACACACACTCAAATGTTGACTGCTCCCTCGAATATCAAAATGATTCATCTTCAAAATTACACCAAGCCGATAGTCAGTTTTTTCTTTAACTACCTTACTATACTACACCAAAATATAGCGGGATTAATTAGTAAATCCGACTCACTTACTATTAAACTGGACGAACTATCTAACACAGGTACTACGGTGGACGTCATTTGCATTACAGAGCACTTCATTGAAAATGGTTATCTGGATCAACTACACATTTCAAACTATTGCCCGGCTGCATTCTTTTGTAGGAATTCTAAACGTGGTGGTACTTGCATTCTCGTTAGAGCAGGGATGCACTTTAAGGAAATATCATATGCAGCAAGACAATCTGTTTCGGGCGTCATTGAGTTCTGTGCAATAGAAATACCAGCTCATAATATTATTATTATTTGTTTATATAGGGTTCCGAAATATAATTACTCAATATTTTATGAAAAATTAGACTTAATACTAACTTACTTTTATCGTTCATTTAACAAAAAAATAATTTTGTGCGGAGATTTTAATATTGACATTTTAAAAAATAATAAAACTACTTCGGAATTTAAAAATTTTCTAAAGCAATACAATCTGCAGCTAACACTCTTTACACCAACTAGATTAAGCAGTCAGACTTGCATCGATAATTTCGCCCATAATATCATGAAAGGATGCAAAACTGAAGTTTTAGATCTCATTTTGTCGGATCATGCATCCATTATACTTAAAGTCCCTGTCAATAAGGTATGTAAACTTAAGTTTTGGAAAATTAAAAAACGGGATCAGTCTATTGAAAATTTAACAAATTTTAAATACCATCTAAGCTGTTTATCCTTTACTGAAATATATAATGCCAAAAATGCCAATGAGGCCTTTGACTTCTTTTTTGACGATTTTTCACTACTTTATAATTTATGTTTTCCAGAAAAAATTGTAACTATTAAGACCAACAAAGCAACTAAATGGTTATCTTATGGAATAAAACTATGCAGTAAGAAACAAAGAAAACTACTTTGGACTTACAGATTAAATCCTAACCACAGTAATAGAATAGCTTTAAAAACATATACAAAACTATATAAAAAAATCATCAAACTTACCCAAAAAGCACAAAATAACCACTTTATACATACCTCTCAAAACAAATCGAAGGCTACTTGGCAAATAATAAATAAGTCAAAGTTGTGCATGCCACGAGAGTCAATAATATGCTTAGAAAAAGGTGATGATGTGGTAACGCACCCAGAAGATATTGCTAATGAATTTAATAATTATTTTGTTGATGAAATTGAAAATAATATTAATAATGACATTAATTCTTATAATAATAATTCTATAAATTGGACATCTAATTCACTATTTATGCAATCAGTAACAGATAAAGACATAATTAATATAATATGTAATCTTAAAAATACTAATACGGTAGGATATGACGGAACGTCGACAAAAGCTATTAAACACGTAAAAGAAATAATAGCCCCACATCTAGCACACATAATTAACATGTGTATAACAGATGGAATATTTCCAATAAAACTAAAAAATACAATTATAAAACCACTACATAAAAGGGATAGTAAAACATGTTTAAAAAATTATAGGCCAATTGCTAAGATACCTATACTCTCAAAGATTATAGAGAAAGTTATATATAACTCCCTGTATGACTATTTTGATAAATACCACTTATTTTGTGACGAGCAGAAGGGATTTCGGAAAAACACTACAGTAAACATGGCGGTATTTGACTTCCTAGACGATATTGTAACATCAGTAGATAAAAGAAATCCAGTTTGCGCAATATACACGGATATGACTAAAGCCTTTGATTATGTGGATCACAATATCTTGTTAAATAAATTACACAGTTATGGTGTCCGAGGAAACGTCCTTCAACTTTTGAAATCGTACCTCAGCGACAGAATTCAGTATACGGAGATCAGTAGGCTATGTCCGAGGAGTAAGCTAGAAACGACATATTTATCAAAACGAAGACATATTAAATATGGCGTCCCTCAGGGCAGCGTTCTTGGGCCGTTACTTTTTCTGATATATATTAATGATTTACCGAAAACTACATCACACAAAATGGTCCTATTTGCAGACGACAGTACAGTCATCATAAAATGTAAAAATGAACTCGACTATGAAAATGAGATCAATAAATGCTTATATGATATCATCAATTGGCTTAACAAAAATAATTTAGTAATTAACTTAAACAAAACAAAGGTTATGCACTTTCATCAGCGTCGTCATCAAGACAATATTAAAATCGCGTATGAAAACCGTTGTATCGAGCAAGCAAATAAAACCAAGTTCTTGGGTATAGTCATTGACGACGTCCTCAGCTGGAAGCCTCATGTTGAGGAGTTATGTAAAAGGTTAAGTAAATCCGCATACGCGCTTTTCCAACTTTCAAAAAAAGTAAACCTTCAGGCTCTTCTTGCAGCATACCATGGATTCGTTGCCTCGGTATTACGCTATGGCATTATATTTTGGGGGCAGTCTACAGATAGAGAGCTTGTGTTTAGAATGCAAAAAAGATGTTTAAGGTCAATGTGTGGTCTGAAGACCACAGACAGCTGTATTGCACACTTCAAATCACTAAAAATATTAACATTGCCCTCCATGTATATACTGGAAACAGCTGTATTTGTAAAACAAAATCCTCACTTATTTCCAAAATTGAGCTCAGGCAGGAATGTTCCCTTACGCACCCAATATATTAATAAACTAAGCCAAGTAAAATGTAAAACAGCACTTATGTACAAAAGTTTGTTTGGTAATGCCCCTAGAATTTATAATAAGATTCCCAATGAAATAAAAAATACAACAGTAATTAGATTTAAAAGTATTCTCAATAAATTATTATTAAACAAATGCTATTACTCAATTGAAGAATTCCTTAATGATAATATTTTTTGACAAATTTAATTTATTTCTTGACAATTTCAATTTTTTCTTGACAATTTTAATGTATTTCCTGATAAATTTGATAATTTTAATTGACATAATTTTGACATACCTTATTTTTATTATTTTATTATTATTGTACAAATTTAACTGAAATTGTAATATTTTAATAATGTTCAAATGCATGTACCTAATATATTTGTATGTCTATCACGGCAAAACATAGTGGACTATATTTATATGTAAGACCTTATTATGTAAACTACCTATGTTTAACAAATAAATGATTCTGATTCTGATTCTGATTCTGATTCATTTTAAATTGATTAATTGATGGAAGTTGATTTCTGTTTAAAATATTAATATGCTTATCAGTGTACTTATTGACACAATATAATATATTAAGTGTGTCACTAGGTACTTTATTTATTTATTTACTTGGTGTATGGTACTTCAACCATTTACTTAAAACAATGTTATCAGACATATATAGAAAAGTATTACCTATTGCATGAACCATAGCCAGATTTTTCGTGGGAATATATTCTCACCTTGTGTACTTTCTCATTACTTCTCAACTAGCTTCTGCCCGCGGCTTCACCGATTTTCTAGTGGGATAAAAAGCAGCCTATGTGTTATTCCAGACCATGATCTATCCCTGTTCAAAATTTCATCTTAATCACTTCAGCTGTTTTGACGTGAATGAGTAACAAACATACAAATAAACACAAAGTTTTACATTTATAATGTATTTATATATTAGTAAGATCCATTCTCCCCAATCCTTGAATCCCCAACAATTACCAAGTTCGGCTCGTTTACTGGCTTATACCACAAAAATAAATTTCTATTGTCATTGTTACATCACCTTTAAAACAGATGTGTTTAAAATTAAGTTATGGCAGCAAGCATAAGACAGAAAATACATAATGTGAAAATATAAATACTTTCTATATAATGTAATACTTACCATATAACATAAAATCACGCCAATTATCTCTGAATGGGTAAGTATTACGGCACTTAATCCCATTGAACAATGTGTCACCCATTTTTCACTATTTATGTTATGACAACATAATAGAGGTATAGCCTACTGCCATATAATACCAGGCACAATTCCGGACTCCATGCTACTAATGAGAATTTTTAAGAAATTCTAGTTCTACTTTGCACGATCCGGGAATCGCACTTGGGACCACTCGGCCAACGAGGCAGTGGGAAACTTACCAATAACACAAAAATTGGGTCATGGTGCATACTGAGGGCTTTATCTATGTGTAGTACATATATCATAACATTGCTCTATTGTTATTTAAATTCCTTTCAAGTTATATTTAGTATTGATAAGATCTAGATATTTATAAAACATTCATTTTGTATTGGTATAGGTAGATAAACGATTTTCAACTTTATTTGAATAGAATTAAAGTGAAAATCAATTGAAATCTTCACAAGTATTAATACATTTATGACCACTTTTATTGCTGGTATAGTGTTCTCGAGACATATTGTAGTCAGAAGTGTACTGAATTGAGATGAACTAGTTATAAGAAATATACATATACATTTAAAACTAATAAAACTTAAAAACTACTTCACGTTCAAAATTGCAAAATAAAAATCGAGAGGGCACATCAAAATCTACAAAACTATCAATTTTCAAAACTCCCGGAAAACATTCCAGGCCGGACTACCAAATTACTGAACTATAAGAAAATAAAAGATAAAGAAAACAAAAAAGAACTATTTAACTGCAAAGATTGTCAAAATATTACAATATTATTTTAACAAAATTATGTTTTCTAGTAATTTTTATACCACTCGAAGGTAGATTTTCTGTTTATAATCTTAATTGCACGGTTGGTACGGTGGCTGGGAACCTGGCTGCCGCTCAATGTGTCGCAGGTCCGATATCCGCACGGAACAGCTCTTTGTCTGATCCACAGATTCTTGTTCAGTGTCTGGGTGTGATGTGTGTGTGAACTTGTATGTTTGTAAACCATAGTGTAGTGTAACGGGCCTGCGGACGGCGAGCATGGGTGGCTCCCCGTCCGACCAGAAACAGACCCGAGCGTACGGCACGTCGCGTTCCGCGAGCGCCGTACGCGCCATCAGACCATCACAGATGGGGCCCAATACGGCCGATGCCGATTCGGAGTCGCGGAGAACCTAACGGGTAACCGGGGCTCCGGCTCGACGTGCAGGTGAAGGAACGGGGTGGATTTTAGTCAGTAAGAGTCTGACACTCCCTCCCGCCTCACCCAGACGGGAGCAGTCATTCGATGATTTTCCCCCCTTAAAAAAAAAAAAAAGTGTAGTGTAACGAAAATAGTGTAATCGTATTAAAAAAACATTTCTGTTTGTCATAGACCCGACACACCCAAGTGTGCCTGCGACAGTAGAAGATATAGCGGACGCCGTCACCCACGCCCGGTTCGTCGGCACAGACCACTCTTCAGATGGAGTGGTGCTGATGAAGATCTTACAAGTAAGTTTGAACTCGTAATGTTTCTTTATTACTGAACGTCATGTTTTAAAAACACATAACGTCACGTCTTTTATCCCTGAAGGGGTAAAAAAGGTGCACATTACGGCACTTAATGCCACTGCACAATGTAACACCAACTTTTCACTATTTATGTTGTGAGTTCCATGTAATAGGGGGTAAGTCTATTGTCATATACCGGGCACAATTCCAGACTCCGTGCTATTACCGAGTTGTTTTTAAAACATACTTTTCCCGACCCGGGAATGAATCCGAGACCCCATGCCTGGCAGTCGCATTTGCGACCACGCGGCCAATGAGGCAGTGTTTTAAAAACGTTTACGTACTTTCGGTGTTTAGATTCTAATTATAATTTTATTCGTCTAGGTCTTCAGCATGTTCATATCAGGGTAAATTAATATTTGACTTGAGACCGTGCACGGGGCCTATAGCCAATTCTTTTAGAATGTAAAAAAATCTCTCTAATTAGAGTTTTTGTTAAATTAGAGACTCCCAAGGCATAGAGACTAGTGGATTAAACTAGACCAAGGATGAGTGATGCACTTATACCTATGCTATGTCGCGGAGAACTTGACGGGTAACCGGGGCTCCGGCTCGACGTGCAGGAGAAGGAACGGGGTGGTTTTTAGTCAGTAGGAGTCTGACACTCCCTTCCGCCTCATCCAGGCGGGAGCAGTTATTCGATGATTTTCTCCCGTTCAAAAAATACCTATGCTATATCTGAATATACCTGAGTATATAACCATAGTTAATTAACTGTAAAATAACTGTATAATATGTAACTACAGTGAAACCTGGTTAAGTGAGACATCAAGGGACCTACAATGTCGTTTCACTTAAAGAGCCACTTACCCAGTGTCTCAGATATACAAGTATAAATAAATATCTGTCTCATTTACAGAGGGTTCGATTAATAGAGGTGGACTTGGAATTACATGTGGAATTTGTGGGTAGAATAAGAATGAGTAAACAAACAATGTTATCTCAGTTACAGAGGTTTATGCATATAAAATTTACTCGCTGTCTCAGTTATAGAGGTAACTATGATGATAAATCGAAAGAACAAATCCCAGATATAGAGGTTTACCTCGTCCCACTAACAGAGGTAATTCAGTGCCAAAGTGTTGGGACCTCAGCATGAGTTCCAGTTATGGAGGTTTCTCACTTATCCAGGTCCCACTTAACCAAGTTTCACTGTATAATTGTCCCCTTCCCGACTGTTTCTGCATAGTGCATCTTGTGTCTATCTATGTTACATTTGGACACAATGTATTGAAATTGAATGTTCTTTATTACAAAAGAATAAGGTTTAAATATGTTAATGAAACTATGTTAGTAACCCTTATCCCGCTATCAAACAGTTATTCGCAAATCGATCAAGTGTACATTATTTATTATTATATATATATACTTGATCAAGCTATAAAAAAGTCAATTAGGCATTTACGGTGAGTCCTATAATGGTAATTAAAATGTCATAAACCGACCCATTCGTGGCGAAGCATAGCTCTCCCACACTTAATATTGTTATTATTCCCTAAATTGGGTATCGTTTTCTTCCCATACGGCGCCCCCGTTGGGCGCCAATAACAGGTCGGCAATAGGGTAGATGCCTAATTTTTATTTTAGTATCCGTCTGGTAGATTATTTTAAATCATTAGACATGTATTTTTTTTTTCTTACAGAAACGAATACTTTCGACGATATATTGGTTTGAAATGTCGCGTGACGTCACTTCTATGTACATTTTATATGTAGAAATGACGTTTTAGCCCCCACTCCTAAACTTTGATTAGTTTTATCTAAGTATTGTTTTATTATGCGACAAAATAAAAAAATACGTGTCTAATATTTTTTCATTACCTAACTTACGGACTAATTAGATTTTTAATTTTCATACCATGTCATCATCCCAATTAACGTTTTACCCTTGACTTGAAATATTTTCCGATCCACATATTAATTTAAGAAAAACGTCATAATTCGATGTTAAATTAAGTTATTAGCAATCCTTTTAAAGAAAAGCGTATGAATAACTATTTAATTACTCACCCCTTATTAAATGGGACTCTTAACATAAATAGTGAAAAGTGGGTGTTACATTGTACAGTGGCATTAAACTGTTAAACACCGCGAGGACACCGGTGACCGCAACCTATTGTTCTTTAAACTGTCAAACACCAAGCGGTCACCGGTGACCGCAACCTATTGTTCTATAATTGTGTCTACAAAACCGGTACTCGACGAGTTAAGTACCGTAATGTGCACCTCTGCCTACCCCATTGGGAATAAAAGGCAAACTAAATTAAGTAAAAACGCGAGAACCCCTCTGTGGTTCGAAACTAGTAGAGCTTTTCTCAGTATATTCACGTAGTACCCGCGTTTTTACTTAATAAAAGGTAAGATGTAAATATTTATCTTTCAGGTCCTTCGAACACTAATTGCTAACTAAGCAACTAAGCAAAAGAGTAACCTTACAATTTTATGTTACTTTCGCCAGACGAATAGAAATAAATAGTTACTTTGTATATTGTTTTGGCTTTCAAATGATATCTTTTCATCTAATCCAATTCAATAAATTTTTACTGTAACTTCTTGTCTAACCCTTTTAGAAACAATTCTAGAAACCTCTACAATCCCTTTTTCGGAAACATTCTATCTTACTTTTTCATGAGTGCCTCATTGGCGGTGTGGTCGTAAGTGCGACTGACGAGCAAAGGGTCGATTCCCGGGTTAGGCAAAATATTACTGGGTTTGTAAAAACCTCAGAAGTAGCACGGAGTCTGGAAATGTGCCTGGTATATGGCAATAGGCTCACCTATTACATGGGACTCATAACATAAATAGTGAAAAGTGGATGTTACATTGTATAGTGGCATTAAGTGCCGTAATGTGTACTTCTGCCTACCCCATCGGGGATAAAAGGCGTGATGTTATGTTATGTTATGTCTTTCTTACTTCTTACTAATATTATAAATGCGAAATGCTGTGTGTTTGAGTGTATGTTTGATTCTCAATCACGTCAAAATGGCCGAAGGGATCGGTATGAGGAACAAGAATTGATAAATTGGTCTAGCTAGAATAATAAACATATATATTTTATTTGATTTATCATGATATTAGCTGTTGCCCACGACTTCGTTCGTGGAATTGGGATTCACAGCTCCTCTCCCGTAGATGATAGCGTTATAATATGTAGCCTATATTTTGACCCGACCTTGTTAGTAATATTCATGCAAAATTTGTAGTGAATCCATGCAGTACTTTTGGAGATCATCTCGGACATACATACAGACAAACAGACAAATATTCTAAAAACCATATTTTTGGCTTCGGTATCGATTGTAGATCACGCCTCAAATATTCTTTTTATTAAATATTCAATGTAGGTACAGTTTTGAATTTTATACGATTTTATTATATGTAGGTATATGTGTCGTTACGCCATTGCTTCAGGTTTGTTGTTCACTCATTCAATTCATTCAATTGTCCCTTTGTTCCTTTTGATTACTTGTTTGGTCGCTTTTTAGTAACTCCTAGTTTTCATAAATTGAACATGATTTGGTACAGAAAAGTGAAATAACATTTGGGAATTGTCTGTGTACTTCATTTAATATAAGTAAGTTATGTACAGACAGCTGTAATAGGGTAGATGCCTAATTTTTATTTTAATGTCCGTCTGGTAGATTATTTTAAAACTTAGACACGTATTTTTTATTTTCTTACCGAAACGAATATTTTCGACGATATATTGATTTGAAATGTCGCGTGACGTCACTTCTTTGTACTTTTTATACGTAGAAATGACGTTTTAGCCCTACTCTTAAACTTGATTCGTTTTATCTAAGTATACCTACGACGAAATAAAAAAATACGTGTCTAATATTTTTTCATTTACGGACTAATTATATTTTTAATTTTTATACCCTGTAATCATACCAATTCGACTTAAGGTTCACTCACTATTTATAATTCAGATTGTTGTGTACAATTTCAATCTGCCGTCTGTATCTGAATTTATGTACAATAAATAAATAAATCTCACGGGAAATTGGGCAAAGACGCTGGTATGATTATATGTCCTTAATTAAGTCCTTTGTCCCCAGGTCCTACGCACACTAATGCTGAGCCCGGAAGGCGCCATGTTGACAGACGAGAGCGTCTGCGAAATCATGCTCAGCTGTTTTCGCATATGTTTCGAAACTCGACTCACAGGTACAGTAATTTCAACTTTACTTACGTTTGTAACAAGGTTTATTATTCCTTTGAATGTCTGATCGCCTGAGAAGTCCTTAGGTAGTTTATTTTTAGACATTTTCGATTGATTTTGTCTTGTTGTATAAGTTAGTATCGTATCGAGGGTGTCGGGATTATATCTTGTTGGGAGAAATTAGTTTTATCTAGAAGATTTGTATACAAAATATCACTATAGACACGAAGTGCCCTCTGGCCCTCACGCTGTCTTGAAAGATGGGATGAGCAGATTTTGGGCTGCTCCACTTAAACGTCTTTTACTATTTTGCGTAGAAACGGATCATGTCTATGATTTTTGAAGGAATAAGCAGAAATGTAAATATCTATTCTTCTTCGACTGGTTTTCGTTAGTAGGTAATTTTGTGTAAACTGCTTTAGGGATTGTTCCAGATTTCGTGCCATTCATTACATAACATCTTAATTCTTTGTCCGTCTTGGGAATTCAATTATAAAGAAAAGTGTAGACAGAACTGAAGAATTTTCTTCTTAGAAAGCGTTAATTACTGGAACGGAAAATTCCATATATTCCAAAGCTAAGGTTGTAAGCAAAATGTTTCTTATTATTTGGTATTCTGGTTCTATTTTGAGAAAACTGTGTAGGCTGTCTAATACCATGGTTAGGGATTGAGATACCTACCGGAGCACGCGATTGTAGTTTGGGAAGTGATTCTCCTTTCTGCTGCCTTTTGTCGTTGCTAGTTAGTGTTTAATTTTATAACTAGCTGTTGCTCGCGACTTCCTCCGCGTAGAATTTTAGGACGTAACTTTTTTATGATTTGCTTTTCCAAAATATAAGTAGCCTATGTTACACCTTAGTACACTAGCTACATGCCAATAACAGTCCCGTCAAATAAATTATTATGTTTTCTACTAGTTTCAAGCCTGCCAAGCGAAATGCTGCTCATGAATATGAGCCTCTAGCATGGCTTGAAACTAGTCGAGTTCCTCGTCAAATTACTACGTGAGTAAGCCGAAAACATAATAATTTATTTAGTATGTCTCACGAAAGTTACAATACAAATATAGTCCCGTTAAAATCGGTACAGCCGTTCCAGAGATTAGCCAGTACAAACAGACATAACAGACATACGGACAGACAGACAAAAATGGTAAAAAATGTTATTTTGGTATGTGTATCGTATGTATATTCATATTATTATGCATGTAGTAAAATACGGTTGTTTTAATATTACAAACAGACACTCCAATTTTATTTATCTGTATAGACGAGTAAATAGGGTACCCTTTTGTGACGAGTAAAAGGGGTTTTCTCGCTTTTAATCGATTGTGAAAGATTTTTTTAACGTTACCCCACACTAGGATTTTCTCCTGTGTCATGGTTTACAAACATACACAAGTTCACATACATACACGTGACATTCAGACCTGGAACAACAAATTGTGGATCACACAAAGAGTTGCACGCACGGCGTCGAACTTGCTACACGTTGCGCGGCCCGGCCACCGCGCCAACCGTGCATCCAATATGTTATTGTTTACCTGTCTCAATGTCTGTCTATTGATAAATTTGACTACTAGAAGTTTGGACGCTTTTCGTGATTTATTCCGCTGTTGATATATCCCTTTTGACACTTGATACTGACTGTAAAGGGTACCCCACTTCACAAAAATGTTATGAAAATAGGCAAATCAATACAGATTACTTTTTCAGGAAGGAATTATGAAATAACAGGAAAACTCTCGACAATAATTGGGGGATGATAAAATAAAATAAAAACGGTTGACGTTGAGCAATTTCGTATGGAATGTTTGTAGGTACCTCTTAAGATTTTTCGAGGGTTAATTAGCCGGAAAAATACTCGTCGATCGAATAATGTTATTCGAAAAATGGTGTCTATTTAAGAATTGGGTTACAATATTTCTGCCTTCTGGCATCTGAGAACAAATGTTATAATAGGGGTAGACAGAGAGGTAGCCTGTATTATAGAGGTAGTTCGTAGCGTCGTCGTAATGTCGTATTTTTTCACTATTTATTATTTCTCTGTAATAAGGTCCAATTTCGTTATCAAAAACTGATAACGTATTAACTTTTTGCATTTGTTACGTCATTTTTAAGCCATAAAATATCACTTACAGACTAGAGCATTTATCTTTGAATCTAAAGCTTAACACTAAATCATGTAAATGCCACCGGAGTCATACAAGCAATCGATACATTGTAATTAGGGCCCAGACAGACGCAGGGTAAATGCATTTTCCGAGCGCCTCCGACCTTACACGAACCTACCTGAGGGTGGTAGGTTGGTATGAGGGAACTTAGCCCACAAACTTTCTGGAACGTCGAGACACCTGATTGGTGCGCTGTTCCCTCCGTACCTACGCCCTAAATGGAGCCTGTTGCGCTCTCTATCTATCAACATTGCATCTGCGATGTAACTGCTCATAAATCAATATTTTGTTGCAAGTACTAGATATACAGCTAGGAGTACTAGAGTACTTGATGTGGGTTGGCCGGGAGTTCGGGGGACGTCGAGTTTCTCGCAGCGGGGGCTTCAGCACTTCAGTGTACCGATAGCTCTTGCCGGACGCTCCACGTCGATACTGTCGCGCAGAAAGTCACTCTCTGCAACAAAGAAACAAAGTGATTGGTTTTTTATTCTTCTCTACCGCGTTTCACGTAGCTGTTGTAAGCAGTTACATGCAGGTTTCTGCAGTTTTATACTGGTAAGTATGTTATAGTAGGTATATGTTAGACAAAGGGTTACTTACCGATCGATTGATTGTTAGCGATTGCCCGCTGCGAAGTTATGTTTTAGATATTTGAGGGCTGAGCTACTTTCTTGCTGTGTTGGTGATATTTTCGTAGATGTTGTTCGATTATAATGTAAGCAGGTGGTATCCAGTCCTCGGGGCGTGGTCACGTGGCACATATGGGGTCTTATACTGTTAAGTTTTAAGTTATTTTTATGTAAATTTTATAAGCAATGGTAGGTATAGCAATTTCAGTAGCAAAGTTTAGACACGTGGCTTGGTAAGGGGAAAAATGAGGTCGTATGAACAAAGGCGTAGCTCAGGCACGTGGCACGCAGTGTAAAGTAGCTGGGTACCTTTGTACGAAGTAGTCGGAGGTTGTGAAACTCGTCCCTATGGAAATTTCCTTATATATTTTTAGGCTAGCAACGAAGAGTAGGGGGTGTGGAGGGGGTACCGACGCCACCGCGGAATCGATCGGTCTACGGCTTCGTACAATATTTGGTCGTCTGCGCAGATTCGTACGCAGCTTTTATAAAAATTCCGCGTATCAAAGCTAGGTGCGGGACCTGGGACCTCACAACGGTTTCGGGCGTCAGTCAAGACGGACGCGTTTTCGTGAAAGATTTTCTGAAGATTAATTTTCTTTGTAGAGTTGCTACGTCGGAACGCTGAACAATGTCTTCGAGATATGACGCAGTTGATCTTCATGAGGCTGCCGCAGTTTCCGGCAGAAGACACGGGCTCCGCCAGCTTCTCTACCGTCGGCCTGTCACTCAAGAAGAGAGAGAAGACGAGCAAGAAGAAGAGTTTGACTAGTGTGAACAGTAAGTACCTACTTACCCTAATTTTTAATTATTTGTGTATTTTATTCATGCTAATATAGGTGGAGCAGTCCTAATACCTGAGGCACATAGGGGTTCCATTATGGTTGTGGAGGTTGTTGGAGATTTATCATGCGAAGTCAATTTTTATTTTTCCTCTTAAATACGTACAAAATGGTGGATGCTGCACTATCTCTCGTCAAGATGACGACACCCCCTAGTATTGGGGGGTGGGTTGACCAGACCTGATGCGCATTGTAATGCGCAGGTTCAACGAACTGTACTAAGATGGCTGGACCACGCTTACAAAATGGCGGTGCCACCATGGGGGAGGGGTAACGAATAAGATTTAGTGGTCTTTTTATCTAAGAGTTTTAATGCTATTTGAAATCGTCTTAACAATTAACAATATTTAATAAACTTAACGGTACGTTACGAAGTTAGCCATCATATTGGAAATGTTCTAAACTAAGAATATAATAAATAGGCGCTTTCTGATTATGGCAGAGGAAGAGGGTAATAAAGGCGTGTCTACGTTTTGAGACAAAAATCGATAAAGAGGGGTTTTAATTGGAAATTATAGATATAGCCATTTTAAAGAAAAATGCTTATGATTGAAATTGGTAGGTGTCAAAATTTGATGAGACGCCTACACCCGGTATCGACCTGCCGACTACACGGAACAGGGGGTAACAGAAGGGGTGCCCCTTCTGTTGCGCATTGGAATGTGTACGTTTATCGGACAGAGTAAAATGGCTCGCCTGTGGTTTTTATTTTCTTTTAAGTATATTTTATTTTATGGTTATTATTTTTTTTTTTTGGAACAATGGCGATAAACAGCGAGTGAGTTTTATTAGTTTGATATCGGACGTGTGTAGCTGTGGCCGTGGGATGGTTTCTCGCTAAAATGCAAGCGATTTCGTGACACTTTTAAATATACACACTGACAGCAGTCAGACACTGTACGGCAGTTAGGTATACTATTATGATACTACCCAAAACAAGATGATACTCTCCCCTTCCCCTCAGGTACCTGCCACACCTAAAGGGGGGTAGCACCCCCTGATCTAACGCGCATCGTAACGCGCAGGTTCAATGAATTGAACTAAGATGGCTGGACCATGTAGGTGGTTGCTGTAATATGACAAGATGACGCCCCCCTCACCTCTTCCCCCCAAGTATCGGTACCCCTGGTCTAATGCGCAACGTACCGCGCAGGTTCAAATCATCAAATCAAAACATATTTATTTGCTTACAATAAATGATCGCATGCAAGATAGCGGGTAACAGGACGCGCATTAAAACGCATTTTTTTTTCAAATTGTCTCGACGTATTACATTTAGAAGTGTGTTTCTTTTCGATTTGACAACGAGTTTTTTCTTGCGGGTCTCGAGATGTTATCTTGCTAATGTGTTAGAGATTTTTGAAATAGTTTTAAAAAAGTCGTCGATTCCTATGATCTTACGGACGAGATCAATGGACATTGTAAGATGTAGGACCAAGGTAAGGCGCCATATGGCGCTACCGGTGACACACCCACCCCACTCTTAGTAGTGGGATGTCTTGGGTTTGGGTTGGGGTGGAGTAGCAAGGAGGAATTTGGGAACTTACTTTAATATGGGGCTTTAAGATTTTAAAAATATTCAAAATTATGTTTAGTACCGCTACATGTTGAGCCGACGTCCCAATAAAAAATGCTTACAAAATGGCGGTGCGACACTGCTGGTTTCCCCGTCCTACACCTCAGTTACAAGGGCAGGGTGCGGTACGCCGCCATCTTGTAATTGAGGGGCGGCCATCTTATTTGTGGAAGTTGAACCTGCGCGTTACAATGCCCGCATGACCAAGGGGTAGGTGGGTAGGGGTGGGTACCCATACCTCACCCCCTATTAACAGATGAGGTCGTCTTATTGCGACATCTACCATTTTCTACGGTAAATAAATATGTCTACCAGGAAAAGTTTAGATCAATAGTTTTATTATCAATGAAAATCCTCTCGACATTATCTTCAAGAACAAACATAGAGCTGCATTGCGCTACAGGAGTCTGTACAGCCACAACCACGAAGTTGGATAAGGTAACGAAAACTGTAAACTTTTAATTTTATTTTAAATTACATTTGTTTTAATTGTTTGTAACGGATTTCTTAAAATTTTTTCTCAACCGCGAAATATATATAGGTAACCTAATAGTTTGCTCAATGCTTTAGAGGTAATTAATAAACCTATAAAGTGATAATGATAGTGAAGCAAAATTATGAATAGTCTCATACTACTTACTTTCGTCTATAAATCTTTTTTACCCGCCACAGGCCTACTTAGACATCTGTGTAGTGTACCTGTGTCTAGAAACCACTTCAGTCGTATCAACACCAATGGATTCTAGAAAAACTGCATATATGTATGTCTGAGTTTGAAGCTACCACAGGAAGCGACGAAATCACCACCGAGATACCTCAGATCCTTAACATCATAAAAAGTTAACTAAAATCGCGGGTTCGCGGGTTACTGACGTGAATATACTGAGAAAAGCTCTACTAGTTTCGAACCACAGAGGGGTTCTTCCTCATGAGCAGCGTACGCGGTCGCGGCGACGTCACGCAGCTCACATTAGTTAATTTAGTATGTCTCACGATAGTTATTATAAAAACAAATATTATGGCAATAGGCTCACACCGCCTATTACATGGGACTCATAACATAAATGGTGAAAAGTGGGTGATACATTGTACAGTGGCATAATGTGCACATCTGCCTACCCCTTCGGGGATAAAAGGCGTGATGTTATGTTATGTAGATAATAAAAAGTATTAAAATTCAATCTATCTATACATATAATAAAATTGTAGAAAAGTGCTGTCTGTACATTGAAAATAAAAATAAAAAAAATAGCAGGGGCTATTGTTATGTCGATGTCGAACCCAAAAATGTAACTAACTTTTTTTTTGTCTGTTTGTCTGTTTGTTTGTTCACGCTAATCTCAGAAATGGCTTATAAATATTTATATATATTTAACAGGGTGCGGAAAAGGTGATAGTGGTTTTAATCCTCAGATTCCTCTCATTCCAAAAAAATTTCCGTTTAATTTTAATATCGGTTCATAAATAAAAAAGTTACGTCAAATTAAAGAATCACGTCGAACACTATCTATCTATCTATCTATACATATAATAAAATTGTAGAAAAGTGCTGTCTGTACATTGAAAATAAAAATAAAAAAAATAGCAGGGGCTATTGTTATGTCGATGTCGAACCCAAAAATGTAACTAACTTTTTTTTTGTCTGTTTGTCTGTTTGTCTGTTCACGCTAATCTCAGAAACGGCTTATCCGAGTTGGATGCGGTTTTCACGAATATATTGTGGTATGCTTCAGTTATGCTTTAGTGTTTGTTTCATGTCAATCGGTTCATAAATAAAAAAGTTACGTCAAATTAAAGAATCACGTCGAACACTATCTATCTATCTATACATATAATAAAATTGTAGAAAAGTGCTGTCTGTACATTGAAAATAAAAATAAAAAAAATAGCAGGGGCTATTGTTATGTCGATGTCGAACCCAAAAATGTAACTAACTTTTTTTTTGTCTGTTTGTCTGTTTGTTTGTTCACGCTAATCTCAGAAATGGCTTATAAATATTTATATATATTTAACAGGGTGCGGAAAAGGTGATAGTGGTTTTAATCCTCAGATTCCTCTCATTCCAAAAAATTTTCCGTTTAATTTTAAACGAATTCAGTTTCCAGTGAGCCTATGTTTCGCCATGACAATTAATAAAGCTCAAGGTCAGACTCTAAAAGTTGTGGGTATAGATCTAAGTATCAGCTGTTTTTCGCACGGTCAATTGTATGTGGCTCAGTCCCGTGTTAGTAATCCCAGCAGCCTGCATGCTTTCACCCCCGATGGCCATACGTCTAATATTGTATATAGAGAAGCATTACAGTAAAGTAGGTTTTTTAGCTACCCAAAATGACTGTGATTATGATCCAAATCTAAAATAAAAATAAGTATATATTTAAAAAAAAAACGCTGCTCATAGTCACTATTCTACGCGAACGAAGTCGCGGGCACAGCTAGTTTATAATATGTCCCATTATGATGGACAAAGTTGTTCTAGTACTTACTCACCTAGGTCACTGTGTTTGAGTTTGATATATTTCGCATTTTATACTGGAATACGGTCGGCATTCGTGAAAAATTGTCTCAGTCTATACAGGTGTCCCTCAATCAATTGGCACCTGATGATTAGCAAGTTTATTAGTATATCCTCTCGCGCGTTTCTTGTACACACGGGTGTACGAGAGTGACTTGCACCGATTGGAAACTGTGATGTATGTATATTTTCAAGTTGCAACCCGTTCTTTATTTGATTGAACAGTATAATTCATTCGCTTTCTATTAAACCCGTGTACGAGACGCGCGAGAGGATATGTAAAAAAAATGCAAGTCATATACCTAGTTTTTAAATTACAATGACTTATGTGTTATCTACGAAAAAGTACACCCTGCGCCAGTCTTTTAACTCTTGCTACTACAATTCTTTATTTCTTCATCTGTATTTTTATATTCACTTACAGTGAGGTAAAAATTTTCGGAATTATCAGATTCATATTGAAATCACGACATTGAAATTAGCAGAGTTGCAATTGCGATCATTATACGTACAAGGTAGTTTAATTATTTTCTACTAGCTTTTACCCGCGGCTTCGCTCGCGTCACAAAATGATAAAAAGTAGCCTATGTGACATATACACACAGCGCCATCTATACCAATGATTTCGTTTTTCCTCGAGAATATCAAATCTTTTCCGGGATAAAAAGTACCCTATTATTTAATCCAGACTTCTAACTTTACGCCTGCAAAAATTCAAAGCAATCGGTTGTTACGGCGTGAAAGCGGAACAAACAAACAAACTCACTTTCCGATTTATAATATTAGTAAGGATTTACGGCTAAATCGACCTTCATAGAATATTCGAAAGATAATGTATGATTTATTGAATAATTTCATATCATAAAATATTGCGTATTATCGATAAATTGAAGCGTAAAATGTGATAATCATTAATTTCATCTTGATTTACGTAAAGAGATATTTAGATACCATTTCTGCATATATTATATATAGAAAATGATAGGCTATGGTTCTTGAGTACTCACAGGGTACACCGTGAAATGTATTTCGTTTTCGTCCCAAAGTAAAATGGTTCTGTCTCGACACAATAGTTTTACAAATATATAAAAAGTTAAAAAATATTACTTGTGAACAATTGCAAAAAGCATTGTAATTATTTGTAATCCTGGTAGCAATTTTTATAATAACTAACGTTGGCGAGGTTGCCTAATAGAGCAACGACCGCAGCGCCATCTATATTATCTGAAGGGTTTTTTTTAAGTATAGGAAATTCAAACTGATGTAACTGATCTCATACTAAGCAGTGCTAAGTGCTAAATTAGTATAATATGCAGCGAAATATAGGATAACTATTTTAAATTATGATGTGAGAAGGTGAGCATTATTTCTTGCAAATGCGAGGATAATATAGATTTAGGTTATTGTTTTTATTATTACTAAGAAGAGGCGCCGGTACTTGTAGGGTACCAACTGCCTCTCACATACAAAAATTACGTGTTGGGTATGTCTTGATATCCATACCCCACGCGCCTTGCGGCGCATGTGCCATCTAAGTGACAAACACCCTTTTTTGTCCGACCGGGGCGCGGCCGACACCAGTACAAACGCGTGTAACGAAACCATAGCGCGATTCAGGATTCGGCACGAATTGAACAACGCCATCTATCGAGCGCAGTGGTAGTTTTTTTTTGTCAGTGACAAAAAATAATTTGTTTGTTTTTTTTTGTTTTATTGTCTTTGACAATTTCTTTGTTTAATTTAGTATGTGTCTGATATTTTTATTTTATTACTTTCGGATGCAGATTTGATTACAAAAAAAAAAATATCCCACATAAAGTGTTCAGTTTAATCTCAGTTCTTTTATTATAATAATAAAGTCTTTTAATGAAAAATAGACATATCAGATGTGTGGTAGATGTTGGAAATATGTTTTTAGTTATAGTTTAATTTAAAAAAACTTGTTTCAGGCACAAATTCTTTGGAAAGAAAGTCCTCGTTAAGCGAGCAGCCGAGTACAACGACCACTGAGCTTGAATCAGAGAGTGACGCGAGCAAAACTGACGTCAGACATGGGTAACTACAATATTTTATATATACATTATTATTTTTTAGGAGATTGACTAGTCTTGTGGGTATTTCTATTTTTGTGGGTGTAGGTAAATTTATTATGACAGGGTGCTAGGTGTTAACCTGTTAACGTGTTAACGTTAAACGCCATGGGGGTCACCGGCGACCGGCGTTAGCGGAGGATTTACCTTCAACAGTTTTTTATTGCAGTATTGCAGTCAAAGTCAATTAAAGTTCTAAAATTAACACAGGTTTAGAACTTTATTTCTCAAGAACAAAACATATTGCCTATAATCAAATATTTTAATAATCTATTCGAGTCACTTAAGGGGCCAGTAGAATACCAGCGCGAGGCACTGTCTTGCACATGCTGAACTGGTCCCATTTCACCGCAGACTTGGGACTTTGATAGGTATTTATAAACTTATGTGGAAAATCTGTATGTGTCAGCGGTTTTCGCGTGTGAAATAGACTTTTTTCTTTCTTTCTATATATAAAAAAAGAATTTCCGTTCGTTAACCTCGCTAAAACTCGAGCCGGCTGAACCGACTTGGCCAATTTTGGTCTTGAAATGTTCGTGGAAGTACAGAGAAGGCTTATAAAGGTGAAAAATTTTTTTAGGCGAAATGCAGTTTGCCTGGTCAGCTAGTAATAAAAAAAAATAAGACAATGGTTGATCCATAGCTAATTGATAAAAATATTTCGAACATACAACATTTTTTTAATAAAACGTTGCCCCACACTAGGACTTACTCCTGTGTCGTGGGTGCGTTTACATACATACAAGTTCACATACACATGACACCCAGACCCGAAACAACAATTTGTGGATCAAACAAAGTGTTGTTCCGTGCGGGAATCGACCCCGCGACACGTTGCACGGCAGCCGGTTGTCCAGCCACCGCACCAACCGTGCAGTCCATAATATAACACATATATCAGTCAAATAACACTTCCTAACTTAGAAATCTAAGTTTAAGTTCTTACTTATTGCCCCGTTGGCCGAGTGTTCGCAAGTGCGACTGCCGTGTAAGGGGTCTCGGGTTCGATTCCCGGGTCGGGCAAAATATTACTGGGTTTTTTAGAAATTCTCAGTAGTAGCACGGAGTCTGGAATTGTGCCCGGTATATAGCAATTGGCTTACCTCCTATTACATAGGACTCATAACATTAAAAGTGAAAAGTGGGTGTTACATTGTAGAGGTACAGTGGCATAATGTACACCTACCCCTTCGGTGGTAAAAGGCGTGATGTTGTGTTATGAAATTCTTATTCAACAGTCACTTATTTATTAAACACACGAAATCTCTTTTTCAGCAGCCAAGACAAACACCTAATAAACGAGGCTGAGATCACGATAGAACCAGTGGACGTGAAGAGTCCAGTGAAGAAACATGGCAGACATTCCTCCATGGACCTGGCAGCTAATGGCAACACCTCCATCACACAGCTGCTGGAGAAATGCGTCAGCCCTGACACTGCTGATGAGAAGGATGCTGGAGACCAGAGTGAGGATGTCCAAGAGGCGGAGAAAGGTTGGTAATTATTACTATTATTGCAGGTTTAGCTGGATTTCTTCAGACGGGGAAAATTTTGGATTCGAATTTCACATTGATGCTTAGTTTTCTAGTGCTTTCTTCGACGTGGGTGGTAGAAGCAATGTTTATTGTGTTAAAACATAGAATACAATTTCACGGTTCACTGTAAATGCTGAGAATTTCAAAATTAGAAAGTACATTGCAAAATATTGAAATTACCTTTGTTTTTATCTTTATAAAAAATGTTGCTCCACACTAAGATATTCTCCTGCGTCGTGGGTGCGTTTACATACATACAAGTTCACACACACATTGACACGACTAATGTGAAATAGGATTCAAACATATTAAACGCTTCTGGCACCAAACCAAATTATACGAATTTCAAAATCGATGATTAGGAAACCAAAGCTATATTTTTTACATTACAGATAATATCGTAATGTAACAATTACAGATTCTGAAACTACAAACCCTGAACCGGATGGCATTGAAACCATAGAGCCTGTAGCCCCTGAGGGTCCAGTGGACGACACGGGGGACAAACCAGGAGAGTATGTGAACCACCGCGGCATCAGGTTCACTCCTCAGGATGATGCCAACCTGCAGCCTTATGGACTGGTCTGCGTTAGAGAGCTGTTCAGGTACATGTTCATCATCTACTAGTAGTCCAGTTAGAGAGTAAAAATAAAAGTAGTTAAAAATATGAATTTAACGTTCGAGTAAACGCTAATAAATCTTCTAATCTATATGATAACTTGAATCGCTCGGATAAATCAGACGATAGATCTCCTATATTTTCGCTAATGATAGTTTATAAGGCTTTGACTGCCAATAAAAAACTGTTGAAGGCAAATCCTCCGCTAACGTCGGTCACCGGTGACCCCCATGGCGTTTAATGTGTTAATATTTGTGCAAACTTTGCAAACTATAGGTATTATATTATGATTATTACTAAGAAATTATTGGGGTTATGCTTCGTCAGCGGTGTACTTAAACTGCACCGATGCGCCGGTCTTCCTGGCGTTTTGCTAATTTGGTGATTTTGATTGTGCCTAGAATATGTGCATTTAACTTATTTTGAATTTTTAAGGGTATGCTTCGTCAGCGGTGTACCTAAACTACACTAGCGTAACATAAGGAATTCAATACAAACCCAACACCTAGGCTTTGACTGCCAATAAAAGGCAAATCCTCCACTAACGTCGGGTCGGTCACCGGTGACCTCCATGACGTTTAATGTGTTAATATTCATTAATTACTGTAAGCAAACTTTAATCACCATAATTCTTACACCACAACATCTTCGACAGGTTCCTAATCTCGCTCTGCAACCCACTGGACAGTCAGAACACGTCAGGCATGGTCCACCTCGGCCTCTCCCTCGTTGGAACAGCTCTTGAAGTGTCCGCTGACCAGCTCGCGAAGTACCCATCTCTGCTGTACCTCGTCAAAGACCCGCTCTGCAGAAACCTTTTAAGCGTAAGTAATTTTCCATGGTCTTTTATATCTGTAGGTCTACTCTGATTCGACAGAAAACGTGGTTTCGTCAGAAACTTCTCAGATTTCCTTCCAAAATTCCATTTATTATGAAGTTTAGGTTATTTTCCAGCCTTGTATCAGCAAGAACACTAGGTGTTAGGTCCCCATCCCTCACATGATGTAACTGTGGACATCAGCCGCGTCCTGTGAGGGGTGAGGATCGGGACATCTATCTCCTCCTCTTCTGGACACTTCTGGAAACTTCCAGAATTTGTAAGACTGAAGAAATACAGGTACAGTTTATGTTGTTGTAGCTCTATTCTGTTTCAGTGGTAATAATAAGAATATTCATATTGTTTTTTTGTTCTGGTGTCAATATTGTGCATGTTTGTTTATTTTAGAGGAATTTTTATATGCTTCGGAATATGTCAGCATAATTATGCGTGAAGTAAAATTGTAGAACTGTCCTTCAACCCATCTTTGAGCTTTACAAAGAAAATGTTTAATTTTTTTTATAATTTTTTACAATTCAATACCATTGATATCTCGCGTGTTCTTTAATGTTGGTACAGTTTGTAAAAGGAAGTAATATAGATTTTATTCGTTGATTTCTGAACAAAATATTTACCTTTAGCTGTTCAACTTATTCGACTGATGAGGAGTTCCTGCTATTCGGTCTATTCGCGTCTTTTGCTAGGCTAACTAATTCGAATTGACTCCAACAATTCGAATTAGTTAGTCCAGTTAAAGAATCGCATCAGGTTTCGTCACGTTTGATCAAGATGAAGCAGCTGCCCAGTCGACAGCTCGCGAGTCCATGTCAATTGGACCCCCGAGCCGTCCACTGGGCAGGCGGACGGCCACACCCCTCGTGGGTGCGGCTTAGTCTGCGTCTGCCCAATCGTCGTGGGATCTACGGGTCTTCTATATTCGTTTCAAGAAAGAATAACGTTACTGTTTGTTTTATTATTTACTAGCGACCCGCCACGGCTGCAATATATGTGTATTATACATATAAACCTTTCTTAAGAATCACTCTATATATTTAAAAAACTGCATCAAAATCCGTTGCGTAGTTTTAAAGATCTAAGCATACATAGGGACAGATAGACGGTGGATAGCGACTTTGTTTTATACTATGTAGTGATATTTTGCGTCATATTGGTGTATGAAAACATTTTTTTAATTGGGCCTCCGGTAAGCTCACCCACACGATGAAACACAACGCAGATAGCAGTATCTCTCCGGTCGAGTGGGCCTGTTCGTGCCGAAACATGGCTCTCCCTCACTTAAAAATGTGTATGTTTATAATTCGTGTTATTTGGACACAATTAACTAGGAAACGTGTCGTTAGGATATTAATATGATGTCTATACGATATTCCTGGTGGAAATCTTTAAAAGTACGACTTTAAACATTTTTATTACGATTTTGAAACTATTAACAGCAAAATAATTTGTTTTATATTATGTCAAAAAGAGAGAATGGAGGTGATTTGAGAATTAAAGTTGTCCTCGCCTTTTCCTGGTATATGGCCAATATCAGAAAATGGCCAGGAGAAGTGTGATTTAAAGCTCATCGTGTTCACATCTGTGTAAATAAGTTAGTGTTTATTTTGTTCCGGAATTTGAAGATAAAACGAAATCGCTTTGACTGGACCCTACAACTCGAGTGAATTCCCAGCATTCGAGTTGTAGCGTCTAGTTAAATGCAAGAACAACAAGTTTCGTCCAGACATGTCCAGTGATAACAACAAAGCAGCTGTCCAGTCGACAGCTCGCGAGTCCATGTCAATTGGACCCCCGAGCCGTCCACTGGGCAGGCGGACGGCCACACCCCTCGTGGGTGCGGCTAAGTCTGCGTCTGCGCAATCGGCGTGGGATCGACGGGTCTTCTATATTCGTTTCAAGAAAGAATAACGATTCTGGTTGTTTTATTATTTATATTTTGTGTTATATGGTTGTAAATGTATATGTTTATATTTCGTGTTACTAATAAGGCACAATTGACTAGGTATCGTGCTGCGTATTTGATTTTAGTTGGAACGCACGATTTTTATATGATCTTTAATTTGTTTTTTAGGATATTGATATGATGTCTATACGATGTTCGTGGTCGAAATCTCGACTTTAAACACTTTTATTATGTTTTTTTGAAACTATCAACAGCAAAATAATTTGTTTTATATTATGTCAAATTATGCTTCTACATGGTTTTGGGAACAGCAAGAGAGAATGGAGGTGATTTGAGAATTAAAGTTGTCCTCGCCTTTTCCTGGTATTTGGCCAATATCAGAAAATGGCCAGGAGAAGTGTGATTTAAAGCCCATCGTGTTGACATCTGTGTAAATAAGTTAGTGCTTATTTTGTTCCGGAATTTGAAGATAAAACGAAATCGCTTTGACTGGACCCTACAACTCGAGTGAATTCCCAGCATTCGAGTTGTAGCGTCTAGTTAAATGCAAGAACAACAAGTTTCGTCCAGACATGTCCAGCGATGACAACAAAGCAGCTGCCCAGTCGACAGCTCGCGAGTCCATGTCAATTGGACCCCCGAGCCGTCGACTGGGCAGGCGGACGGCCACACCCC